CAGTAATTCTGTCTCATGTCAGGCTTAAAGCCTCCGCCCTCCTGGTATACGATACTTGAAACTGACATGTACAATGGCTGTCGCGCGAAGAACATAAAAAACCTGCCTGGCTCAAGGTCTTGCCAAGGTAGGCATCTTGCCAGCCATATTTCTCGGCAATTTCTTCCTGATTCAACACAGCAGCAGAGTAAGGAGGAATAGGACGAATAGGACAAAGCTACTTTAATTCGACAATGTTCAGCGACAAGTGGCCAAGTTCGAGAAGTCTGCCTTCACTTCTTGCATGCGGTCCAGGCCGACCCTGGCCAAATACCGCTCCCGGGCATCCTTGACTTTGGCCTTCCTCAGTCAAACACATATCGTTTGCACAGGTAGCCCAGAACCAGGCAGAACATGATTCCACTGAACATGGACAGTGAACACACCGAGAATGGACCGAGGCTCAGCTCACCTCTGATGCGAGCCCGGAGGTCACGTACTCGCATGCTTGGTGGTAAACCACAGCTCAACCAAAAACACATGCCCAGATGTACATCGCTGAGTTGGTGCCTGATACCTGCCAGCAGCAGTAACCCGGAATGGATCTCTTTAGCGGCTGTAGCGTATATTTGCCACTTGCATGGTTGACTTGGAACATGTTTCAAAATGGAGATTACACAACATAGCACGTGCACAAAACAAGAGAGCAACACTGCGAATAATGCGCCCAAGCCTGGGGCATAGCGCTCCTCATCAAGATGGGTCAGGAGCCGTAGGGCATCTCGCCTGGCCAGATTTTGCACTCTTGCAAATCACTCCTGATTTCAATATCTCCCTCATCTGGCCTTGGGTACGTGTTTGTCTTCGAAGATTTCTTCCACAGGGCCAGGCAAGTCTTCGGCACCGGCCTCTTGTCCAGCTCCTCACCTCAGAGTCAATCACATCTTCGCAAGTTTAACACAAAATGCTCATGCCTGAACCAAAACAGCCATGACCTATGACAGCATGACAGACAAGAGGCTACAGGCATCATCGGAATCACTCGAGGGACTTCTCGGTCTCGAGGAACCGGATGAGGATACTTTCTTCTTCTTGCCATCTGGTGGGCTGCATCACAGAATCAAGGACCAGGGGAATGTAGCTCACTAGGCAGTCCAGAGCAGAAAATTCACATGATGCCAGCACTCAAGCACAGCCTTTCTTGGACGAAGGCTTCTGATTTCCTTTCCTCTTTTTTTTGCCTTTGCTTTTGTCCTTCTGAGTCTGCTCCTTCTTCTTCTTATCCTTTTTGGATTTCTTCTCCTGCGATCTGCCTCTTGACTTCCTCTTCTTTCTTGGTGCCGATGACTCACTCCTGAAAGCAGGACCCAAAAACAAGAGCATGTGACATCCGCTAAAAGTAAGGTTTCCCCTGGCATGCTCATGAACGAAACACAACTCAGTCAAAACAGTTAAGTTAAAGCGAGCGGCTTATCAGTGGACAGCAGATCATCAAATGGATCCACCGACTCACTGCTGCTGCTTTCCATCTCCCCTTGCTGTCCGTTGCCCCCCTGCTGGACTGGGACGAGCTGCTGCTGCTGCTGCCCCATCTGCGAACTCATACCCGGCAGCATGTGGGATCCCATCCCCGGTTGCATGGCGGCCTGGCCTAGCATCTGGGACCCCATGGGTTGCACGACGCCAGCCTGGCGAAACATAATCGGCTGCATGGCAGCCTGCCCCGCCATCATCTGGGGGCCCATCCCCGACATCGACGACGACGCTTGCCCTCCCATCGGCGCCATATCATAATAGCGTAGCCCGAACTCGCTGGGCCTCAGGTGCCTCAGATGATGATTTCATTCATCGGTATTTCTGCGTGAGCCGTCCTCCCTGACTCTCAAAATCAAACACAAATGACAATGATTCAATTGCATCTCAAGTACTCCGGCAGCCGCTTGTCCCGAGCGTGCTTGCGCTTGCCCATGGCTGCGAGGGTTTGAGGTTACTATAGAAGCCTAGATAACTACCAATACTATTCCTTCGGGTTCCTTGTTCCAAGCATGTTGTATAGGAGCCCCAAGCCCTAGTCTAGTCAATAAGGCCCCTACATTGCAGCCATCGAGCCTGACTGAACACAGACCGAAACCCCTTTAAACCCCTCTGAGGATCCGGGCACAGCTCTTGTTTTCCTTGTACCAGGACGAGAACGCACAGGCTGGCCACTCAGGAGTGCCAGGCATCATGGCTATGCTGATTTCAGATTTCAGATTGCTGATTTCAGACTGCTGATTTCAGACGAAGCTGATTTCAGACGGCTGATTTCAGACTGCTGATTTCAGACGAAGCTGATTTCAGACGGCTGATTTCAGACTGCTGATTTCAGACGAAGCTGATTTCAGACGGCTGATTTCAGACTGCTGATTTCAGACGAAGCTGATTTCAGACGGCTGATTTCAGACTGCTGATTTCAGACAAAGTTCCACGCATATTGTATAGGAGCCCCAAGCCCTAGTCTAGTCAATAAGGCCCCTGCATTGCAGCCATCAATCAAGAGTGAGAAAATGCCATTGAACACCAGAGTTTTCAAGGAGGCAGTTCCGGCCGCCTAAAAACTCGTCTGAGCCTGACCTGACTGAGCACAGCTGGCGGTTTCAGCTGGGGGAACAGTAAGTAGTTAGTAGGGCTCCTTAAAGGGACCCTCTCTCTCTCTTTCTCTCTTTCCTTGTCTTTGTCTCTCTTGCGGCCTCCCCTGCAATCTGAAGGCACTGTGCAACCCTCGCCCAGTTCCACCCCAAGTGGGCGCCAAGGCACTGGGCTGTCCCCGCTCGGGAAGCAAGCACCCCTATTGTGACCGCCGGTCAGGGGGAGAGGGTTGCCGAACGGGTGAGCACAGGATCCTGCCCAGCAGACGCATTAGCCCATGTGCTCTGCTGTCATCCACCGAAGTGGGTTGGCCAAAAGCAGGAACGTATGGCACTTCAGTCCCGACACCCGGCCAACGGTGTCTCGCATGTTCTGCGTGGGTAAGGACGGACTAAGGACAACGACAAAGCAAGCAAGGTCAAGCCCATGCTAAGAACAAGAATGGTCTAGAAAAGTGTTTGAAGTTCTCCGCAGATACAGCGAATAATTTGGAATAATTTCGAAGAATTTCGAAGATTTACGAAGATCTGAGAAGAATGGTCTAGAAAAGTGTTTCAAGTTCTCCGCAGATACAACGAATAATTTGGAATATTTTGGAATAATTTCGAATAATTTCGAATAGTTTCGAATAATTTCGAAGATCTAAGAATAATGGTGAAGAACCTGGAATAATGAAGAATATTATGGAAGTTTACCGAAGAAAACTGAATATTTCCGAATATTTAAGCAGAAATGCAAACATTTCTGAATATTGTTGAATAGGGTTAAACACACTGAGAAGTACCCTTCTGAGAACCCTCCCTATCCTCATAGAAGATTATACCTCTCGCTGAGGCATGGTCTAAAGCACAACGCGCATGAATTTCATGAGTGTGCGCCTGCCGTGGACAGAAGTGTGAATAGCTCAGAATCTCACCGCCTTCACGCCTCTGCAAGTCTAGCACAGCCGAAATCCAAGCTTCATTCCTCTCTGCGAAACGCTTAGCCAGATGATCGGACGTCTCGCCCCCCGGCCCGAAAACAAAATCCGGGGCTTCGGCAAGCGAGCCCCACTTGCACAAACGGAAATCACTCACACGCTTTTCGGGATCTAAGGGAGGTTGCAGCTGAGGGGGAAGATCAGGTTCACGGTCCCAGCTGGAGTGATACCACGACCAAAGAGGCAGCAGAAGCAAGGGCTGCTGTAGCCCCAAAATACGAACTGGGCTGGTGTACACCTGCAATGACTGGCATATGTCGTGAATACGATCAAGCTTCTCGAAAGAGTCTCTGGCAGGGGCGCATCCCTTCCTCTCACCATGAGCCCATGCCTCGTGATTCCCAAAACAAAAGAAGATCATGTGAAACGCCTCTGCAAGTGCCCGCAAGGATTCTTCGAACTGGTCCTCACTAGTGCAGAGGTCTCCAGGAAGCAGGAGACAGTCGTAGGAACATGCCGTGTCAGAATCGCGGCGAGACATGCTGGCCAGGCAACTCCTCATCCATTCCTTGTTCTTCTTATGATCAATGTGTAGATCAGACATCAAGAATATTCGCAACTTGTGACCGTCTGGTACTCTGACATCCGTGACCTTGTTGCAGTCCGCCCCTGGAAAGGGGCACGTCCTTTCGGCTCGAGCTGCCTCCGCCTCGTCAAGCTCATCCCAGTCGAGCATCGGTTTTTCTGCGTTGGTCCCAACGCAGAAATATTCGACGACTGGTCGAGACTCGAGACTGTAAGCCAAAGAGCTAGCCGCGGTAAGCAGGACGGTCCTAGTCAAGCACAAGCGCAGCAAATCGACTCAGGTAGCGCCGAGCCTCATCGTCCCACGACATGCAGCCTCATGCCACGACAGCTTGCATATCAAAAGTAATTAAAGCTCAAGCCACCGCAGCAGCCAAGCAGGCCGGGGTGCTATACTGCGTGTGATGTCAAGCTCGGAGTCTGGAACACCTGAGGCTTCTTCCGAAGGCCTGTCAGTTTCTCCTGGCCTCTGGCCCGGCAACCCGTGTGTGTCAGCGAAGCTCAGCGCCTCATGAGGTGCAAAGGCACCAGGAGAGGCGTCAAAAAGACCTATCGTAACGGAAGCGCAACGTTCTTATGACCTCGCGCCAATGTTGTTGGCCTTTGGCTCGATCGGGTTGCTTGCTACGCTGCATGACACTTGCGCATGATTCGCTCGCTGTACATGTACGTGAAAACCATACTCTGCGGCCTGTCGCACAAGCAAAAATGCGATGGCCCATGCATCAAGGTGGTATTGGGTCAACAGTCCCTTGCACCGCAAACGTGTCCCATTTTCAGTCAGCTCTCTCTGCATGAGGTGGGAGTGACCTGGCGATACAAATGAAGGGCTACCGATTCCACGATGACACCTTTCAGGCTGCGGAATGCGGTGGCCAAGCCAAGCCGGCTAGCTTGACTTGACAGCCTGACCAAAGCTCTGTGTCTGCGAATCGACTCGGAGCCTTGCAGCGGCACCTGCCTCCACCGTTCGCGAATCTTTGGCTATGCTAGGCTGTGAAGCCGTGGTGCGCTCTGCGCCTTCATGCCTTGGCTCTCCTACCAAACCACAATTTCAGCTTTCAACTTCCCAAGAATACGCAGTCTTTCATTGCAATATCATCCCAGTTGCAGGCTTGCATCCTGCGTCTTTGACTTTGACTCGCCCCTGTCCGTGGGAACGCAGGTCAGATGGGCGCATGCCGCATGAGGTCATGAACAGCGCCTCGCAGAAGAGACAGAGGCGGGGCCCGGGACGGCATCCTTGGTGTCCTTGGGACCCTTCGGGTCCGTCTGGTCCCGCCCAGGCTCGTCATCAGTGGAGTCCGAGTCCGCGGAGCTGCTGCGACTGTAGCTTCGACTGCGACTGCCGCGACTGCGGCTGCTGCGACTGCAGCTGCTCTGACTCCGACTGCGACTCTTCGAATGTCTCCCGTCGCTCAGCTTCTCGACCCCACCAATCTCAACGGAAGGAGAGGATTCGGAAGCTGTACTGCACGAGTCCTCGAGCTCCCTGGGTTTGAGAACAAACAAAGCCCTGATCTGCTCCTCCAAATCCTTGACATGAGCTTGGTCTTTCGAGACGGCCTTGTTGGTGCCGGCCTTGGTATGCACGCAAATGTGCTTGCATGTGCTTGCACATCTGCAGGGGGAAGGCGTCGAGGCCTAGGCCTAGGCCAAGCGGGGGACTGAGGCACATGTCTCGCCATGTCAACGAGTGAGTGACTGAGTGAGTATTGATTTTTCAAGAGCAGCTGAGCAGTTGCCAAGTCGGTTGCAGCATAGAGAGGCTTTCTTTAGACAGTTTGCCTTCTCTTCCTCGGTTTGTTCTTTCGGCCCCACCATTTCACAAAGAGCATCAGCACATTGATTGTACTAGTTAGACGCTTGTCAAGCTGCAGCTGCAGCACACTCAGGAGTATGATGGTGTTTAGCATGACAACAACACGACTATGCACCGGTAATGAGTGCTCGTCCGAGGCACATCTCCAGCATCGCACGGGGTGGATTTATCTTCCGTAGGTCCTTGCGAGACGAGGTTGCAAGACCCTGATGCCTGCAGCTACAATGTGAAAATTCTCCAGCTGCTTCGGCAGGTTGCTCTGATTAGGCTAGAACAGCGTCACCCCACGCGCAACAAATCCGGTTGGCAGAAGCCAGACTTCACGAACGACACTGTGACAAGATGGCACTGCCAACTAACAGCCACCAAGCCTCACACAACTGCGATGGTTACCGCTTCAGGAGAAACCGTAGACCTCTTTTCGGGGACTGTGAGAAAACCCTCCGGTGTCGACCCCGACGGAGGGATCTGCCCGTTCAGGGACCGATACGCGAGTCTCTAACCCAAGGCGGTCTCACCTCCTTCAAACCTTCACAGCTTCATATTCTTATTGGAAGCTTCTCATTTCTATTGGAGTTAAGCGGCCTGCTGCTTCTGGCCGCTGTCGATCAGGATCCTGAGGCAAGAGTTTCATGGAGCCGTAACCCAAACTGAACTGGCCATTGCTGGACCAGCCCTTCGTCCTGTGCGAGACTAACCTGTCCACATCCATGAAAGCGACAGTAGCCGTACTGATGCCAAGCAGCGTTGGCCCCAGCTGTTTGCTTTGAACTCCTGGCTCCTGGCTTGCTGGCCATTATTTCCAGTCGAGGACTGAACCAGTCCATTAGGATCACAGGAAAAATGGCTCCAGTGAAGCAAGCTGAGCCCAAACCCTGTAGCCCTTCTGCTCCCACCCATCCTTCGCCGCCGGAGTCCAGGTTTCTGCGGCTTTTCGAGAGACCGGTCCTCCACCGTTTGGTTAATCGAAATAGAACTAATGGCAACCACTGCTACAAGAGCCGGACGCACAGCATCTCGCTCCAGCGCTGGATGATGCATGCGTTCCATCGGATGTTGGCTTCAGTTCACGTCCTGATCATTAACTACCGCTGCCAAGGCCTGCTGGGGGCGTTAAAATCGTTCTTGGCAGGCTGGTGCGGTCTGAAGCAGGTACTGGAGAAGCCAAAGACTTCATTGCCTTCAAACAAAGATTGACATGCGACTCCGTCGGTCTCCTTCTGGGGCTGCCAGTAGTGTTGAGTCTCCTGCATACGCTGCAGTACTCTTCGAAATTCGGCAGCTGAATTGCATCCTGTTCTTTGACATGCCACTTGTTTTGATTGTCAGATCCTGCCAGGCGCATCTTTGCGAGCACTGGTCGAATCTGGAGGTTCGCCACCAGGATCATCTTTCCGCCTTGCAGGTTTCGTGTGCAGCTGAGAACAGTCTTAGCTAATGAATAACAGGTATTGCAACTGGTCCTGGCTGGGCTTTTGCTGCGTGCTCGCAAAATTCTGGGATACGGTGGATCTGGAGCACCCGTCCTGCCAAGCTGATTCTCCATGTTGGCCCACGGTTCGCACGTCGAAAGGCAGGGCTGGTTGGCTGGTTGGAAATCTATCTTAATATTCCAAAGATGTGCCCAAAAGAACAAGGGATCAGAAGTCCTTGGGTGGCGAGGTCAGAGGCCCGTTCCATGGGGGTCCATGGGGGTGGGCATGCGTTTGACATACAACCCGGAGCTTAGCTTTGGATATTTACTTGTTAATTGTCGAAGGTAGCTCGTCAATGTGGTTGAAAGAAGCAGACCTTTTTGTAACATAGACTTCGCAGAGATTCGCGGAAAGTACATCGTGAATGCGACCTTAGGCGACCACAAGCCTACATGGGAGTTCCGAAAATGTGGGACCCTCAAATAGTACCCTAAACAGTAGGATCCTTATTGTAAGGACCTCAGAATAAGGCACCCCTAATTTTCCGAAACAACCCTTAACCCTAAACCCTCTAGATCCCTCATTGGAACCCTTAAAGGATCTCTTTCAAGGAACCCTCAGGCCCCCTATTTTTCCGAAACTCCTACATTTTCACTGGTTCTCCAGATGCCCGCCGCCGTGGTGTCTGGGCGCGAAGCTCTCACGGGCCAGGGCTCCGCTGTGTCGTGCCCGGAAGTCCAGCTGCACCAGAGCAGGAATCTTATTATACCAATGCTATTGTACTAGTACTATGATTCTTACTATTATTATTCCTAATACTATTACTATAGTACTAACATTCCTCTAACTAGTACTAAATGATTATTACTATTACTAGTAGAGAAAGATGAAGGTCTTGCGGGTCTTGCTTATGTGCGATTACGTGCCCGTCAATGTAGTGAGAGAGGCGGGCGAACACACATGACCTTGCAAACATACGCACTTGCTGATCATCTCCTTACACCGACAACACACAGTGATCTACCATGCAACACCAGGCACATACGCACGCACATGGATACATACATGCATTGCGATCCATACATTTCATTCGTGCGTACACACATACATGCAGAAGTCACGAATATGGCGAGATGGCAGAGAGAGAGAGAGAGAGAGAGAGAGAGAGAGACGGAGAGAACACACCTAGATACAGGTCTGATGCATGCCTAGATTCACAAACCCATGAGGACACAATCTCGATGTACGACCACCAACACGCGGGACGGCTGTAGATATAAGCCTGTCTTCCTGCTTTCTGTGGCTTGTGGGGAAGCCGACGACATTAAAAGGAATGCATATGCCATGATGCAATCGCATGTGTAGCGGATTGTAGCGGAGAAGATTGAGTGCAGGATAGATTGGTAGATAAGTGTAGCCGCACATACATACCTGGGAGCACTCATTCCCGGGAATCCTGGGCTGCAGTCATGCCGTGGCCCGCCTCTTCTTGCGTTTAGCAACACGGCTGGCCTGTGAAGTGGCCGCCTTACAAACTTATCTCACATCTCGACGATTTTTAAGACTCTGCGTCCGCGTTAGCGTGCACCCGGCACCAAGGCCCCCGCGGGTAATGGAGCCTCTGGAGCAACATACTCCGCAGGTGCCGCGTCTGCAGGGGCTTTCGTCCGTTTGCAAAGGTCGCCATGGGCGAGGCTCTTTCCTTTCTCGCTCCCAACACCTGGCAGGCAGCTTAAAGTGAGCATCCACAAGGCGTAACAGCCTATTTTCAGAAAAGGTGCAATTCAGAAAGCAGGGAACACACATCCGAAAACACGATTCGGAAAACAAACAGGCAATGCAGAAAACAGAAAGGACGAATATGAGCAACACAAGCACGTAAAGCAACCCTTTCACTCAACCCAACCTGACCCTAAAGCGCGTAGCCCTGAAGTAGACTAGCCCAAGCTACCCACAACAGCTACAGCAACATGACCCAACCTACCTCCACCTGGAATTAGCCTCGGTGCCGGCCGAAGCGGTCAGAGATTCCCATAGGGATCCCCTGTTTCCCTCTCCAACGACAAACCCCTTCCTTAAATGGTCCCCACGACCCCAGAGTTCCTCTGAGCCCATTCACTCTCCAAGGCCAGGTTGTGAAACGTGGTGAAGTTTCGCGGCTGTCCCCGCCCTTCCGCCCGACCTCCCCCACTCCGTCGGTTGACGGCTCGGGGTTGAAGAAACACTTGCAGCCGGGCCGAGGCGACGATGCGAAGCGTTAACACTTGAATTTATCAAGCAAACCAAGCCTGACCTACTTCAAACTCTGAGGTAGGTGACCTATACCGAACTCAAACTGCCCTGACCCAAACCTCACGTGACTTAATCTGGCCTAACCACCCTTCGCCATGCCCTTTGTCAATCTAATCAATCTACACCTTATCCTAGCCCGGTCTACCGGACATAACCCACCTGAACTATATCTGGAAAATGAGCTAAGCCAGCTAGACAAGCATAACACATGATCGTAAACAAACTTATGCTTCTGCTTGCCAGGAGGCTGTAGTGGTAGTGGCACTTCTTGCAGCAGAAGCTTCCCATCTTTGTCGCATCCGGGTGCACCAGAAAGTCGCATGCAGGATTGGTGCATCGCTTCGGACGCGGACCGGGCATGACAAGCGGAACAGAAAGGCTTCCCTCGTATTCGCTGCAGCCGGTTTGGGAGTTGGTCTTGGTCTTTGTGACTCTGTGATGTAAAGTCGATGGCACTGCCCGAACTGCAATCACCGCTGGCTCGAAGATAGTGCTCCAGAACTGGAAAACAGGATGATTTGTGCAGTTTTCTGCGTTGAGGGTTTGGTGGGTGAGTGGGAAGCTTTCCACATGGCAGGGTTGTTCATGGGTCAGTCTCGGGTAGTATTGGGCAGGCCGCCGTTGCTTCACGGTTCGAGCCAATGCTGTCTGTCGACGAGGCGTATTGCTGGTTGTGTGAAAAGAACAATAAAAACTTCGGCGATTCTTCTGCACTTTCTGCCAGCAGCTGTATGTCAACAGTTGCTGGACATAGCGGACGGGCAGAGCGCTGAGCAATGCCTGCACCTGCATCTAGCAGCGCAGCTTCGAGCTGCGAGCTACGCCAAACTGAAAAATGAGTGCGCCGGATTGCCAGTCCTGATAATCATTGATTCTTGTGCTAGAATTCCAAGATTGACAATCAAGCACCCGAGGAACTTGGAACGTGGTCGAAGCTCACCCGGTGACGCGGTTCTTACTTCGCAGTGCCTGGAGACTGCAACTGTGACATGTAGACTACCGTTTTTTGGTTTCGCAAGAAAACCCTGTTAAACTGGGACTTGCACGGGCGTTGCCGGCCTCGCAGGGCGACATGGAGACAGACGACTTGCAAGTCTTCCACACGCGAAAGGAGGTTTGGAAGACACTGCCGGACCGTAGAGTTCGAGTTGAAAGTCGGCCTGCTCCACTTTCGGCGGTGCATCCTGAAGTCATGGACTGGTAAACTGTAGACTTACGCTACAACTCTTGCTGTAAGATGCTTGGCCACCATTTGGTGAATTCGCATAGGGTCTCTTCTCTTTGAACTGGCTGGCTAATGGATTTATACTCGAGTTCTGACTGGGCAACAACATCTTGTTCTAAAGCCTGAAGTGGACATGTGAACGTCTAGACCGGCAAGGGCTAAGTGTGATGCTGTCAGGACTGTGTCCATGGCCCTGTCCTTCACCATGCTAAACGCCGTGAACGAAGCAATGTTTCCAATGACCTGAAGAACATGCTTAGAAATGTGCCCAGCTGCACAGTAACTTCCAGCTTGGGCCCTCGCAGCGAGGAGGAAAACCATTCCATAATTTCCAGGTGGCAGCCCCTACGAAGAGTGTCACTCAAGCTTTTGGCAGCATGATGGTGCCGATCTCTTCGGAACCTCTAGTCCCAGAATGAGCGACAAAGCAATGGTTGCCGCCTGTGCGCGGCAAAGCTGGCATTTAAGCATCAGCAGTCCCAGAAGGAAGGCCTTGTTGAAATTGCCCGCGAAAGTGGCATGTGTTGCAGATAACTTGTGTACCTGGTGCCAGGATATGCCAGGTCCCAAGTGAATCACAAGACATCTCCAGGGCACCATGGTATACTGCAAGATGTTGTAGAAAAAGGACAGCACCTCTAGGTGCGATGTGTCGCAGATCAAGTCGTCGGACGGACTTCTGCAGTAAGGGCCCGCGCGCCCGAAACAAGAACCGGAACCAGCACAGAAGGCTTCGTGGACCTCACCGTTGCCAAGCTGTTGCATGGAAGCTACCCAGGAATACCATCAAACTGGAGTTTTAATAGGCTTACACGGTAGGGTGACCGGACCACCAATCTCTGAGGATACAAATGCAGCAGACCTCATCTAGTCAAAGGTCTAGGGCAGGCGCAGGACTTCTTGCAGCACCTGCCAGTCCGTCATGCTTCCTGTGTCCGGCCTGGCACATGCAGCTTGCAGTCGCAGAGTGTTCCGCAGACATGGAGTGCTCCGATCCCGGATTGCTACAGTGAAGACTGAGGACCCATCTGACTCGCCCAGGTTTAGGATGTGGCATGGGGCTTCGGTGCGCTTAGGCTTGAATTGACCAGGACTGACGTACAACATCCCGGACTGTAACCCTGCTGAACCACAGACTTCTGAAAGCTTTCCATTCAAAGAAGCCTGTTCAGCATTGAAGCCAAATTCCATGCAAGGCGGTGGATGGAAGGTGCAACTGACACAGATTCACTGTAACTGCTGCATCGGCAAGCATGCCAACATGTCAGTGCGTCCACTGGCTGACGGGGTGGTAGATCAGGAGCGAAGGTGCAATCAGCGCGAGCCTTGTTCGAACACCGACTCCGAAGATGACCGACAGGGTTCGACGAGGCAAGCATCTCTCGTTTCAATGTGGTCCGTTTGCTCTCGACGCAGCAAGCAAGTCTCATGGCATCGAGCCGGCCGTTGGCGGTCTTATCGTTTGTGCGGCTTACAACTTGAGGGGACTTTCCAGGCTTGAGCGCATCGATGTCCAATTTCTTCGCCAACTTGGATTTAAACTCCATGCGGCCTGCGGGCGAACTGGCACCTCCTGAGCTTCCTCAATTTGTTGCTGGCTTCAAGAACATTCGTGTCGTCTTGACTCCGTCTCCGCGACCCCGAAAGCGACTGCTGCTAGTCAGCTGCTAGTCAACGGCAGCTTAAAGCTTCTCAGCCGCCACTTGTCGAAGAGTTTATGTGCAAGCGAGCATCACGACAAAACACAGCCCCGATCTTTGGGCCGAACAGACCCAATCTATACCACCATGACTGACATAGACAGATGCACCTATCCCACACAAGAGTCCCGTGCCAGGACCTAAGAAACGTGCGCTTGTTGAAGGCGGTTCTTTGGCAAGCGACACCACGACCTCTGTTCGTCGTGACATGTTGCTATGTGCCTTCTACGTGCGAATGGATGTCCACGAAGCATATCTCATGGAGCTGACCTTCCACGTCAACAATGGTACTCACTAATCTAAAACGGCGACTGGGGATGCCCCCATGATTGTCAGTGCACAAAATCATCCAATGCGCATGGGGGCAACTGTATGCGCAAAACTTTAGCCGAATCAGATAATGTTGCTGGCCTCTCGTGCGCAAGCCCTTCTGTGTTTAAGTGAGCAACGCACCACAGTCCGGATTGAGCTGTGTGGAGGGTTTCTCTAAGTTGGGTCTCGGCAATTTGAGGTTGTCCTTGTGTAGTAACTGGTAGCAGAGACGTCTGATTCGTGTTCGGAAAATAAGGACCCTTCTCAGACCAACCACTGCATCTTGCGTCTTATTCTGCTGCTTGTTGTCGATGTAGAATCGAACATACCGCAGCTACAAGCGGTTTCGACACAATCCAACCCTATGTCCACATCATCATACATCATCTAAGGCCCCAACATGTCCTCCAACCGGATGTCCACATCATGCAGAGTTATCTCTGCTCTGATGAGAAACAGCAGAGCGTCGTTATCTGCTTTGGAAACACACGGGAGATCTCTGGCAACTTATCACACGAAAAGACGAGCTCCCTCATGACATTTTTGAAAGTGCGAGACAAATGGGCGCTACTACCGATGTAGGTTGGTTTTCATCCTGCGGGTCGCAAACATTTTCGAAGTCGTTCTGGCCAATGGGATATCTCGGGGCAGCTAACGGTCGCACAAATGTGCCCCGATTGCCCCGGGAGAATCTTGCACACCGTCGGGAAGGGATATGGTGAATGGTGATAGCTCGACGAATCACCGCCAAAGGCATGACATGCAAAGACTCGCAACAGTAGACAGTCACTGAACCGATAATAGATAGATAGATAGACAGGCAGACAAGCTAGTCACAGTCAATATACAGAGCCGCTTGTCATGTTGATGTCTGGGCTGTGACTTGGTGCGACACGCGGTTGGCAGCGACATGTAGCACGTCGTATCTAGCCTCAGAGCACTCGGCGCGGAATGGTCCTGTGCAGCGCACGAGCTGCGTTTAGATGAGCTCTCGGCGGATTCATCTTCATGCTGGTACCAAGGATACTAGCCAGGACCATGTTGACGGCGCCAGCAAAGGTGCTGCAAACCGTCACGATTATGCCCAGCCTGCAGCGAGGATATATTCTGGCATTTCCATGCAGATGCAGCTTCGGGTGACCTGTACACATCAAACCCCTCCGTTTCGTCGGAGTAGGGAAAGATATAAGGCAAATACAGGCCAAACATCATGATACTGCAATAGGAAGCATTAGCACTTGTCTTGCTGGGGCTGCATGTGGGTCACGTGCGGGCGCAGTAGCTCTGCACGGTTTGCAAAGTCATCATGCGTGTCTCTCTCGCTCTCTCTCTCTCTCTCTCTCTCTCTGTTGTTCCTGTCCTTTCGGAGTCCCTTCGTTCTTTCGTTCCTCGCTTTGCTGGCGACCTTGGGGGCCCTCGATGGAAAGTGGAGAGTGCGTACAACGAGGTCCTGCTGTTGGGTCCTCGGATGACATGCATCCCCAGACGCACATGTAGTGTGCAAAACTCTTCGTCTTGCTGCGAGAGGGGTGAGAGGGAGCATCGTGGAACTTGCAATACAGATGATCTCCAACAGTCGACTGCCCACGTGGAAGCTTTTGAAAGTATAGTATAAATGCCGGGATGCAGCAAGCAATGGTCTGAATTAGTCCTCTCACGCCCAAGGACCAAACCCAAAAGCTTGACCATGTGCATGAGCGGTGCTGGGCACAGCAGTGTGATCGAGTTCAAGCCGGTTTCTACTGGCATTCCCGACGCAGAGTCCCACCATGCTGAGCGGTTGCTGGAGCCCTCCCCCGTCAGATTTCTAGCTCTGCGCTGCGCTGGTATTCAAGAAACGAGAAGCTAGAGGCTTGGAAGCGCGCGTGAGGGCTGCCGACTCTTCAGCATTTGTCTGCGAAGTCGTCTTGGCCTAAGCATCTCCCCAGGTCACAAACATCACCCAAGGTCTGCGGTACAGCGGCTACAGTAACGCAGCCGCTCACAGAACCATTGTGCATGTGGTGTTGGGTATTGGGTATTGGCTCTGCCCCGAAAAACCGCACCATTGCACTGCGAGACTTGCCGAGCTTTCCACGTAGCTGGCTAAACCCGCGCAGCTTACGCCTGGACTTTGCGGTGAGCTTTGTGAAACGACTGCTTGAAGTCTCCAAAGCCCCAGCCCCCCAGGCCTGCCAACATCAGCAGCCACTTGGTTGGCCCAATGGACTGCGGAGTTCAACATGGCAAAAGCGCGCCGCTTGCGGCCCTTGCCTTCCGTTGAATCCCAAGAAGAGATCCAAGAATCAGTTCAGAGATCGCCTCGAGTTGAGAGTGACGCTGCCAGGTAACTTCATGACGCGCGAGGCCCTGACTGTGGAGAGCGGCAAGCAGGTACGGATGATCATGTTGATCCTGAGGACAGGCTGCACTGCTCAGGCAGGTGGAATTCATCTAAACGAGGCCGATCCCGTGATCGAAATCCATGCCACTGTGCGAGTGCAGTGTGTGTTGAGCTGCTCGCGAGATTGCCACCAGAGACAAGCTGAAGTTGTTCAGACCGATATTCAATGCGAAGGCCATGCTGAAGCAAATTACGGCCACCTCGGACCACATGCAACCAAGCAGGCCAGTCTCAGAAGCTGGCAAATGCAGCAGGACTCACGGACTCAGCAGGAGTTCCATGCGGCTTTCTTGGAAACTGGTGGCTGAGGGTGGGACCCACTCTTTGGTAGATTTCAGCTGCTTCACCTTGTACACACACATTGCGACAGCGCAAGTGACAGCAATGAAATCACCGCATCTCGCTGTTTGTGTAAGTCATGCCTCGTAGCCGGCGCAACAGAGCCTGCCTCACATATCGGAGAGTGAAAGTGGTAAAGATCACATTGCTATTGCTGCAAGGGCCTGCGATGAGAAAGATGCAAAATGCGATGAAGGCGACCATCCTGTGAAGTAGGCCGAGGTTTGAAGCTGCCACGAGCAAGCCTAGTTAAGGCATTGGCTGCTGAATCGCCGTGAGAAGAAAGCCGATGGGAAGGCCCCGCCTGCCTAGATGACTGGTGACATCGATGCAGCATTTGCTTGCAGAAAAGCTGGCCTTGATCCTCGTCGACCACGATTCTGGACAGGACATTCTTGATGTACAAGTTCATGCCTGTCTGCGCCTGCAGAAAGCAGAGTCATGAGATCCCGTCGCTTCAGGCCACAATCTCCGGGCTCTGCCCCAAAGTAGATCATCAGGATGGACACGGTCTCCGGCCCTGACAGAAACGAACGTCACTTGTTCTTCAGTAGGTGTTGGGCAGTGCGAGAAACCGAGAAACTGAGAAACATGGTCTAAAGCAGCTCTTGAAGGACCTCATGCCGGGCATGTACATCCTCATATTGAACATATTGTCTCTGAACCGGCTGTTCTGAAGTTTTGCCTGCAAGCTGTCGGCTTCTCGCATCGCACTGCCCGCCTCCCATTCCATAGAGAGCCAAACCGCCCAAGAGAGCAACGGCTGGTGGCGCCTGAGACTGAGGCGACAAACTGCTGATGCAATTAGAGATTGTGACAACAAAGACGGGGGCTGCTTGCTTCACGAAGCCCACGGATGCAAATGCCGTGTCCAGGTCCTGTAGATTGCACATTTCGACGGATTCTACAGCCACAAGATCAAACTGGAAGCGTTTCCTGCTCGTTCGGATTGCCACCATGGCTCCAAATTAGCCAACAGCAACCGACCTTGTATACACCAACGGGCCAGGCGCTGCGTAGAGGACGGCTTGCGGCCAAGATACCACTGTCAGGAGCAGAAATGAAGAAGCGAAGCGCTTGGGTCGTCCTCTTCTTCCTTGGTGACTTGTACTTTGTTCGACTTCTCTTCAGGTGGCCACATGTCAGCTCGGCCGCGTGGAGGCAAAGCCTTGGCCTCACGTGAGAGCGGAAGGTGTGATGCGACATGTCCACGGCATTCACTCACACACTTGAAGCCCTCCTCAACATGGGTGACGGGCACCAGCTCCTGAGCAGGAATCTGCTCCATTCCGAGCTGAGTGATCAAGGTGGAGCCAGTAACTTTCAGGCCCAGGCCATCGGCAGTCCAGCACAGACCGCAGCTCACATAGATTCATGGACGGGGCCGATTCAGCTGCAGTTGTGGGAGGCTTTGCGAGCTCAGGCAGACTGTCATCTCCGCAAACCCTCAACTTTCTCGGTGATTGCTGAAAGCAGGCTTGAGAGAGGGAGAGATAGATATACATACATATATACATATATAGAGCCGTGCGTATGTGGGCGCATGTGCTGGACGGTTGAGCGTCTCTGCATGTATTCGTACTTGTGTGTGCCGGCGGCCTGGGTGCATGTGTGTACGGCATGGGTGAATCATTGCCAGCTTGCTCCGCTGCCCTGCGCAGGTAGGCACTGTGCTGGTTAAAGGCAGTGGCAAAGACACTGTCTGCACTGACAGTTGTGCCCAGGCTCGCTGTGCATCCCAAAGATCGACACCTTGCGAATTTGAGTCCTGCAATGACTCTCGTGAGCAGCTGCCAGAGTTCATGCATCGGAGGAAAAAGCTGCAGAATGCTAGACTCCTGGCATGTATGACTGCACCAAGCTTTGCCTGAAACACCCTTCATCTAATTACAAATTACACTTCACATTTCGTGTGAACTTCTGGCTGGCATGCTCTGTAACTCCAGCGCGTAATGTGAGCTACAGCGGAAGTCTCGGGGCTTGATAGCCTGAGGGCCTGTCGCTGTTGCGCGATTTGTCCACCTAGCGCATCGGAGTCCCTTTTTCCCATTCGCTTCAAGCAGGCCAGCACGGCCGTTCTGACGCTGGGATGGTCCAACAAGACCGAAGGTTGGCAAAGTCTTGGGGGCACACAGTGGCCTACGTGGCCAAACCACTCCTTCTAGGAGTCTAGGAGCAATATTGCCAACATTCGCATCAAGAAGCTCACTGCTCAGCAGAAAGCGTGCCTGGCATGCGTTTGGCGCATGCAGCTAGATCGGGCTCGGACAACAGCATCCTGAACTTCTCCTCTGCACTCTGCAGTTTACCGTCGTACAGATGCCGGTATACCACGTGCAGAGACAACCAACTCACTACGACATCTAAAACACATATGCCAGAGATCCACATCAATGTTTCGGGATGAAGGGGCAAACGCTACGGAGGGAGATGTATATCGTATTGGCTCTGTAAGACGAAGCCTCTCACGCACCTGCCATCTGTTCGCATACTGACAAATGAAGCAAGCTTGTCCCAGCCCGAGTGGCTGATCCCTGCAATCCAACAACGGCTGGAATCTGACTACGAAGTTGCGACACCCCTGAGCTGGCTTACGCCAGCCAAGGATTGAGAGAAGTCTTCTAACATAAGAGCAACAAACACCTGGTGGGCTGTGCTGTGTTGGGGCTTCTACTCGCCATGCGTGACCAGTTGTTCTTACGCAGAAGGTGCTCCAGGGAGCATCTTTGGATCCCGGAGCAAACAAAAACGGCTTGCACTTGGCATTCAAACCCGGAATTTAATGGACGGTGTGCAACTGGCGAAACATACGGGCGATGTGAAACCCGCCATGAACTGCGAGGTCAATCGTCTTAGAGAAAGAATCCTTCAGCCGCACCTCAGTTACACACTCAACCTCCTGTTGCTGCGGTGCTGCAGAGGGTACTCGGAGCGAACTGAGCCTGAGGCACGTGTAGTCGGAGATGAAGCTATCAGCCCTGATCCTCCTCAGAAAGGCTGTTGCGGACCAAACTTGGGCTCTCAAACAGCCGATGCCTTCAGACCGTATAGAGATGTATAGAGTATATATACAGCTAACGTCGCCGCAGCTTCATGCAGACGGACCCATCGCTTCTACCCAGTACCTCTGGCCATGGCAGCTGAGCAGCAGCTGCGGCAGCGTCACATCCTTGCCAGGAGTGATGGGCCTCAAACAGTCTGAAGTGGCAGGGTTCGGCGGTCTCTCCTGCACTTGTCTTGCCGCCTTTCCTTCAAGGCGGAACGCGAAAACGGTCGAACACACGGTTTTTTCTGCAGCTTGGCACGCAGAAAATCATCATGAATACAGAAATACCCAAAGGTGTGAAACGGATGTCCTGGCTTACAGGTGTGCCCCTAACGTGAAAAGGTGCAACTGACAAGCGACGGGCGGCACCGACTCCAACTTGCCGACTGTTTTGGTCGAGCTGACCACGACTCTCGCCTGAGCCTCGAGAAGCGGAAGACTTGGCCATCCAAGTCACAGCTGCGCCGTGGTATCCGGGCTGCGCCGCGCCCCACCGGCGCACGTGAGGGCCGCGGCCGGACAGTTCCTTCACCACCTTCACGACCAAGACGTTTCCGAGGGGTTCTTTGAGCTGCGCTTGGTTGGCAGGGAGCTTCTACGGTTTAAGAGCTCTTGGGACTGAGTTCAAGCCATCAGTCGGCATCGCGCATAAGCTGTGCACCGCTGTCACGTGCCACGAAGCGCTTCACCAGCTGCGAGTCCGAATTGTGGACCACTCGCTCCATAAACGTCGGATCAACGCCAGCTGCCGGTCGATACTTGCGACGGGTGTTTGCAAGTCTTCGGAAGTAGCAGCAGTAAATCGGAAACAGGAGGAGGATCGCTGCACTGGCTGAAGTTCCCAAACCCCATGCCCAGGTTGGTAGAAATGGATCCACCGGTAGTGGCGGCAGTGGTGGATGCATTTGATCCCATGTGAAGCTCTGGACTTCATCCACCGGAACTTCGAAAGCTCCGAACCAAGTGTTCATCGAGATGTGGTCCGCCTCGTCCTGTTTTGCAGTTTGCGCTGACGCGAACACTTGAAAGGCTTGTGGGTCCTTGGACAGGAAGGGTGAGACGACCTCCACGGACAGCAAAGGTGGCCCGTTGTCAACCACAATGCCATATTCTTCCTGCAGCTGCCGTCTGGCAAAAAATTGCAATCAAACACGTTATACCGTCTTCTTCCCCAGTCAGAGCGGCAATGCGACAGAGTTCTCAGGTTAGTAAAGGAGTTGCAGGTGGCGAATGGTGGCGCTCGGTGGGTTTCACGGACGCGCCGTCCACGTCCATCAGGGACTCTCTTTCCTACTCACTCCTGTGACCTTTTTTTTTGTTTTTGGAGGGGGGGGGGGGGCGCGCGTCAGATGCTCTCGACACAGTGCCGCTCACACTTTGCACATGGAATGATCTTGGGACAGTCTCACGGTGTGAAGCTGCGGACCTCCTGGACTGGTGCACTGTGTTGTTTTTTGACAGTTTGGCGAGGTCGTCATTAACTAGGTTATTCAATCTTGCGGGCAGCAAACCTCCACGGCTTCCATCTTGTAGCCTCGAATGTCGGACAATGCCAAGCCCAAAACAAAGGCAGTGGTGTTGAGCACGGATTCCTGCAGCCGCTGCACTTTTCATATAGACCCAAGCAGTATTTATTTCGAAGCCGCAGTGGCCTGAATGATCGGATCTCTGGAAAAATCCTGCAGTCATTCCATAAGACTGCCGTTGGCGATGCGGCACAACAGCGATTTTTATCTGGCCTGAAACGTGCTCCGGAACTTGAACTGGAGGTAGAAAGTTTTGACAGGCGCACTCGGAGGCTTCCGGCAACGGCGGCTTCGCGGATGAGCAAACGTGCCTCTGAAGGCCAATGCACAACGCGGCCAAACAACAACGCTTCACAAACTCTTGTAACACGGCCTCCAGGACATCGGAGGACGCATGGCGCCTGAAGATCCTCCCACGTCAGCGGCGAGAGGAAGAAGAGCGGACGACACTGGGTGCAAGCGCTTGCCCCAGGACCTGTGGCAAAGCTCCACATCGCTCCAATTCGGTGACTCTTGCCATGCGTATGATCTGAGCAGCCGGTGCATGTACTGTCTCCTATTCCTGTGTTGCATACCTGGGGGCTTGGTTTACTTGGGGTTTGGTAGGTCGACGGAAGGACAGCCTGAGCATTGTGCGCAGGACTCATCGCATGGTCGGCATTGGAAAGAAGTCCTCACAAGAGATTTGAGAGAAGCGAGCAAAGCGAGCCGGCGGCTAGCGGCTAGCGCTTGCCTGACCATGTGGCCAAGGCTCCACTCGTAGTAGCTGCTTGGAGGACAAGCGGTCTCTTTGCACGTCCCATTGTTGAGCACCAAAGGCGTTCGGCAGGACAGGCAATGGATAGCTTCAGGTCCAAAGCACGTGCGACAAAGAACATGGCAACGAAGCTCCCGCGAGATCAGAAGCTGGTACACCTCACGGGGCTTGGCATGAAAATGCGGAGACATGCACAATGCTGGCTTAGGAAGATGTGGCAAGTTCATACTGGGCACGAGAGGCACGGTCCCAGCAGTGGCCGTCGCAGAGGTCACCCGTACTTCAAGAAGGAGCCAAGTGTTCACAGGCACGGAAATGTACCTGTCCAGCATCGCATCATACCCGCAATTCTTTAGCCATCACCCCCCACCGGAGTCCCCGGCCCCCCGTGCATTCAATGCTGCAGTTAATTACTGTTCCGAAGTCCCAGCAATCCTTTTCCAGATGCAGCAACGGTACCGAGTCAGAATGCCAGACTCGAGGTCTTCCCAATCGCTGCCATCCACCCGCAAATGTAGAAGCGCCGCAGGGTCATTTTTCGAAGCTACTGCCCGCGTCCACTCATAGCCACCTCGCAGAGTGTGATTCAGCCAAGAAGTCATGCTGGCGAACAGCGCCTCCAGTGTTGGGGTTGGCAAAGACCAGGTACTGACTTCGTCGAGGATCCTGAGCGGCTGCCAGCCAGGAAGCCGAGCAAAGAAACCAAGATATCCAACTATGCCACAGCCGCGAGACCGAACAGCAAATTTCGGATGGGTGTCGAAGTACATCGGCTCCATGCGCAGTGGGTCGCCAAAACCATCCACGGCCACAAGACCTGTCAGCGTGGCCTCAGCCTGAACTGTCGCAGCTGGATCTGGATACCTTGGCCACTGGGTGCAGGGTTACACGAAATCTTGCTTGCTTGCATAGGCTGCATCGCTTATCAGATGCTGCCGACTCGCTGAAACTGGAAGTCCGAAGTGATAGTGGACCGGATGACCACAATCCTTTTCCGTGGGGAAACCAGGACCAAGACCCGACAGGTGGCCCCTACCATCTCTCAAGGCACTCGTATGCTACTTCCTCCTGCAAGCTGTGTCCGGCTCTGTACTTGCATCTTGGCAGCGTGTAGTTGGTGCTCCGCGATCCGTATTGAACTTCCAAGACAAGATGCGCAGCCTTGTCTGAATCACGGCCGACCGTCCCTCGGTTTATGTGTGACTTGCAATCGCGCCTCCTCGCTGGGTACATCCGCAAAAGCTGACGGCTTTCCGGAGACCAATGTTTCGCTAAATTCATCTTCCGGTCTGTGGAGCCGCAGAAGTACCTAAAACTGGAGAAAACTGCGGTGGCGGGGCAAGAAGATGGTGGCCGGATATACAACCATGCCAAAACCATTCAAACATGTCAACTTCTGTGCTGAAACTGCGGATCAGCCACAGCATAACCCTGACGAACCACACAAAGAACAGCGACTGCAAGGGCTTCTTGCGGAACGGTCAAGGAATACCTGGCATGTGGCTCTTGCGAAGTTGTAGGAGCTCTGCGCTCATGCCAAACCTACCCTGCCAGAAGCCGACAACCGAGTTCCCAGCTTGACCTCGAAGTAAGACCAAGCCATCGGAGCTGCGACTCCAGTGCCTTTGCCAAGCAGTCGGGGGCTGCAAAGGTATCCGAATCAACAGATTTAAATATGTGCACGTGGCCACATATGCAGCCCAAGTACTATGGTGTGCACTCGCTCAGAAAAATGACCCCAGTGTGCATGTCTGAATATACATCTATATATATATATATATATATATATATATGTATCTCTTTGTGTGTGTGTGCGCGGCTGTCCTGCATTTATGTACATCATATAGCATAATCTAGTATACTCATGTTACATCATGAAACAGTTTACAAGACAATACGACATACTAGGGCCGGACGAAAATCTTCGGCTTCGGCCGAAGCGAAGCGGTCAGAGGTTCCCTCTTTCTCTTAGTCCACTCCGCGCTGACCCACCCCAAGCTCAAGTAGCCACTGACCACCCTTTTAAAGAAAAAAAGATTTTGTCATCCAAAGACCTTTGCAAGTGCCCCCGCCCCCCTTACTGCACCTGCAACTGGGCCGAGGCGGATGACGCGAAAATTAGTATGCTATACTGTACTGTACTCTCTCTCGCTCTCTTCGCTTCGCTTCGCGAGGGTTAGGCTTCGAGAAGCCCGCGTCGAGGCGCCCCCTTCCCCATTGTTTGGTGGGAGGGGCCTTGGGGCTGTTGCGCTCGGGGTTGTTCCCCGGCGGAGTGTGCGAACGGTGGAGGCTACCTGTCTCTCTCTCTCTCTCTCTCTCTCTCTCTCTCTCTCTCTCTCTCTCTATATATATATATATATATATTTACACATCATGAATGGTAATATGACGTAATATACCTCTATCTCTACTTGCATCTATCTGCTTTTTCTCCCTCTCTCTCTACACATAAATATGTAAGTAAACACATAAAAAGCCGTCATATATGTGTGTGTGTGTGTAATTGTGTGTATATATACACACACAGAGGACTAACGCTGATGCTTCGGTTTTGGCAAGGCGCTCAACACCACGGACAACTCTTCCAGGACGGGGGCATCGATGCCAAGCAAGCGACGAGGTGCCTCAGCTGCAGCAGACGTTGATCCCCAAGAGATCTCAATTGTTTTGCGAATTCTGCCGAGAGGCCCATCCCGGTCCTGACCAAATCGAGGAGACATTATTCAAGAGCACGATCAGATGTGATGAATTTGAACAGCTAATAGTCATTGCTATGGTGCAGGGCCTGCAAGGCATCGCCGGAAGAACCCACCCCACACGAGCCATCGCCTCATGCGCCTCAAGAGGCACTCCCACTGGGTTCGGAATGTCGTTATGCCAAGAAACCAGTCGATAGAAAGGGTACTATAGCCACGGATCTCCGTCACCAACCGTGCCACACATCGCCATGGCTCGTAAGCCCTTGGTTTCGCCTGGCTAACTGTGCTTGGGAAACAAATCTACGGCGTCTACGGTCAGTGTGGCTACTCCTCCTGCTTCATGCGTGGCTTGGTCGTCAATGGCCCTGATATGCCCTGATGAAACGCACAAAACTCTTCCCATCTCTAGTGTTCAATTTGCAGAACTTCTCAGCTGCAGGCTGTGTTTCGCCTGCTCGCAAGATCCTTGCTTTCTGCAGGCGTCGCAGGTGGTCAGACCTTCAGGGCAACTAGTATGGACAGATTTAGGAGGCGAGGGCAGGCGACGGCGATGCCTCACGGAAATGTAACGGCACAGTGGCAAGCTTCCCTTTTGCAACTGCCAGCATGCGCCGGAGAGCCCAGAGAAAGCCGTTTAGGCCACATGATCTGTTCTGGACTTGCTATGAAACACATCTTCAAACCGGATGTTGAAACGGCGAAGGCCCGGAGTGGAAGCATGGCTCCACGATCCTATCATCCTTCATTCAGCAGCGGTGTGGTCTTGCTGTTTCCTGAGGACACAGCTCGAACGGGAAATGCAGACATTGCGGTGGGGTGCCCAAAGAAAGGAAACTCAAACCCGCAAAGGTCCTATATCCTGAAAGCCGGAGCCCCATGAACGCCCATGATTTCACTCGTTACTCCTTACGTAAACTTTGTGCATGCCAGTGCATGCAATGCCCCCAAACATCGTGTAAAGCCGTAAAGGCCCCCCTTCGAAACAGGACTGTAGAACAACACTAAACTGTTCGAAGCTATGAAACATCGTCTTCGCAGGCTTGCTTTGCAGGTTTGATGGTTGGGTATTCGCCATAGCTGGTGCCTTCCCCCCCTCCACCCCCAGCGAAAAAGCGAGTGGTTTGGCAACCGCTGCAGTTTACGTGGGATTGCGACGGCCCACTACCAGTCAATGATGCAGAGCAGCTCACAAAGCAGATGCCGGAAGTTTGCGGTTTGAAAAAAAACCTCTTTCCCAAGAGCTTGGGCCAGGCCCGAGCTAAAGCCGAAGAAGCCCAATTCCTGGCATGTATTGGGGTTTTGCTGGAGACATGTTCCGCTCCCAACCATGCCGCGGGAAGCTTACCGTATCATGCAATGCACTCTATACGGTACTTATGCTATGCTATGCTTTGTTGAATCTGCTTCCAATTGTCTTGCATGTGACAGCTCTGGTGAGACGACTAACTTTCCGCTGGAAGTCGCATCAAATCGAAGCGCAGCATCGAAGCAGCAACAAATCCTGGGCTTAGCTTCACATCCGACAAGCACCGATGTGGCAAATGCGTGCCTTGCATTGCCTTGCTATCCAGAAAAGAGGCCCAGGAGAGCTATGCCAAATGCGCCACCGACAGCAAAGGGCAGGGCGCGTGGCCTCAAGACATGCTCCCATGCCCCTAACGGCCTGTGACAGAGGTCGGGACGTGGTCGTCTTCATCAGCCAAAACGCCGATAAAGCTTTTGGTCACATGTTTGAACTTGTCCACACAATCCAGTCGTCTGGAGCGGACGAGAATAAGCCGGCTGAAACCTAGCTGTGCCGGCCCGGATGCCCCAGTCTGATCATTAGCATGCCGACCAGAAATGGTCCTCCAAATAATTCCAGAGCAGGTAGCTGCAAAGGGCACTGCTCAGCAGCTGTTCCCAGAGTGTGTCGGTCAAGAAACACGTCCTGCGCTGGCGCCAAAATTGCCACCAACGTTGATGACCTCAATCACATGCTGATCTTCGCACAACAGATCAGTTTGGATGCGGGTAGGTTGCATGTAGAGAACGGGCCGTGGGATCTACCTGTACGAATTCTGGTAACCAGTTGCCGAAGCTGGGCGATGCACTTGCCTACGACAGAACTGGGGGACACCTCACAAGCTCCCGCAGAATGAGAGCGACAATCTGCAGTGCTTGCATGGTCGAAGTCGTGAGGGCAAGCTGACCAACCTCCCCGCTCCCCAGAACGCCGTGGCCAACGCCGCTGGGTGACCGACTTTCCCCCTCCACTCCAGGGTTTCTACCCCACTGCAGGTCAAGAAGGTGAAGTCAAGTGCTGACTTCTATCACTCAGACTCAGATCAGCTTGCAAGGGTATCCAAACCAGATGCCAAGATGCGGCCAACTGAAATCCAGTTGGGCTGCAGTGCTGGTTGAGCAGTGTGCTGGCGTAGGTCACCAGAGGGCCGCCTGCCACGAAACTGGTCTGCTCACGTCACACGGCTCCAAGATTTTTGCACTGCCTGCAAGGCCGTACCATATCAAGGCCAGCACCGTCGCCAGCACAGAGGAGGTAAACGGCAGCCAGCAAAGAAGCCCCAGCAAGACTAAGACAACTTGGCCGCGAGCCTTGGTGACACAGCACACAAACTCCTTGCAGTAGAGTCTGGCTTGCGTGTGGTTCGTAGTTAGCACAGCTTTGTCCATCTGAGGTGCCAAATCCCACAGGTGGAAATACTGCCTGAGTTGTTCCGAGACAATCTGCAAGAGGCATTGAACGAAACCGGACTCATCTACCTCACGGACTGCACGCACTCAGCTTCTGACGAGGCACTGATATCTAGAAGCTCCAAAAGAACCGAGCATCAAGGAGCCCTGCAGTAGGCTCACCAGAACGGGTGCCACTTCGAGGTCGTGGAGCTCCCCGTCGGCATAAGACACAATCCAGCCCAGCCTAAGGCAATAAAATCGTCACACGCATATGCCATGCTACGGCAGCCACTTGATGCTTCTGCTGGTCAGCTTACAAACATCCGCAAGCTACAAGACAAACAACATGATCTGCAATGTTCGGTTGGGACGACGAATTTGACTCTTGTTGCGTGGGCCTCGGCGGAGTAACAGTTTTTGTCCACTAGATGTCTATAGCACGCCTGCAGTCGTAGTAGTCGCGGTCGGGCAGCAGCAGCAGCAGCAGCAGCAGCAGCAGCAGCAGCAGCGTCAGCAGCGCGAGCAGTAGTAGTAGTCGTCGTAGTAGCAGTTGTTGTTGCAGCAATAGCAATGGTTACAGCAGCAGGAGTAATACTAACAATGTCGGAAAGAGTAGCAGTAAGAGTATAGTAAGTAGTAAGAGTAATGGCAATAGTACAGTGGCAGTGGCATTACGGATAGCTCTGGATTCTGATTTCAATCTTATATTACAATTTGCAACTGATGTTAATGCCCGCCCGGAGGGCGGGCTGCTTCAGCCGAGGGCGAGACTTAAAGGACTAAGTCGATGTTAACACCCTGAATTACCATAGTAACGGTTGGGAGCGGGCTGTGCAGTACATTTTTGGTGCAAGGTCTCTTCTCATCATTCCGATTTGATTTTCCACCCCCGTGCCACAATTGCTCACCCTGATCTTCTTCTGTGTTTAGGTACGACTGACGGCTTCGCGATCAGGTCCAAGTCTCAAAGCAGAGTTTGCTCCGGAGAACAGGAACTGCACCAATGCTGCTGCGAGAACAGCTATCCATCTCTTTGCAGCCGCTGACCAAAGACCTGTGTCGTCCTGGCATTGGGGCAGCTGCAGCTCAGTCTCAAAGGAAACCCTAAAAGTACCGACGCTTTTCGCCAGCTTGCATCGACCTCGGAGCTGTCATCCGAATCCAGCTCGGATGACTTTTCCACTGGCCTCTGCGGCGCCTGGAGCTTTAGCAAAGCCACAAATCATACCACGATGAACGGAAGACAACGCACAGCTCCTTGCCTGGCTCGCTGCCAGGAAAGCCAAAGGCGGAGCGGCACACAGAGCAACAAAACCATATTCTGCGACAGGATCGCCCTGCATCTGCCTGCGAAACTGATCGGCATCCGCGCCGCGGGCCGCATAGCAGGAGCACCAAACCTCTTGACTAACCTATGCGTGTTTTGACATCCAGAAGCGAATCGATTGCCTGAAGTGCCGCGCAAAGGGTTACAGCTGCAGCATTTCTATGCTCATTTTCACATTAGAAACTGGGTGAGCAAAACGGTCTTGACATCTTGTCGTCCTGTTCGCAGCCAGGACACAAGACCTTGAAAGCCAAGGGAAGCGCCGCACTGGTCATGCCAAATGCCCCGTTGCAAAGTGCCAGTATCGGGCCAACCTGGAAGTCAGCGGCAAAAGCATGGAGAACACACGGGCCGCGAGCCGAATCTCCAACTGACGGCCTCTTTCCCTGGAAAGCTCCAGCAAGCCGCTGAAACGGTAAAGGAGACCAGGGCAGAGCCACAGCAGCCCAGCAAAACAAAATTGGCGGACCTCAGCACCACTTTGCGAGAGGCATCTTGTCATCTTGTTTATTCTTACTCGATTTGTTCCTCTCTGTCACAAGGATTCTCGAAGCCGAGATCAATTCGACTTGGTCATCTTCGCCACACTTCAGTCACCGTAAGATCTCAACTGCCTGCATCTCTTCTTCAGCACTCTTGCTTGCTTGCTTGCATGGCGTGTGGGGTTCTTCAGCACTCTCTCTCTCTCTCTCTCTTTGTCCTTGTCCTTCTCGTTGAGCTGTTAACAAACTTATAGCGTCTTCCTGCGTCCAAGACGGCACGTATACGGCAAAACCAACCCGCGCGGGAATCTGCACTTGCGTGAAGGCTGATGCAGGCAAGGCAGCGGCATATTGGCATGTAAGCATTGGCCGGTGCGGGCAGGCAGCCCGCACCGGCATAGAATCCTGCCCGAACCAGCAGAGAATCCCGCACCGGCATGAATCCTGCCAGCACCAGCAAGCAGCATTGCACTCGGCCGATGCGGGCATCGGACCCGGTCGGTGCGGGCAGGCGCCTGCATTGGCCGGCATGCCGGTGCGGGCAGCCGGCCCGCACCTGCCAATGAGGGCGCCTGCCCCACCGCACCAGTCCACCGCACCGGCCGAGTGCCGCACCGGCCAATGCAGGCACCTGCCCGCACCGACCGGGTCCGATGCCCGCATCGGCCGAGTGCAATGCTGCTTGCTGGTGCTGCCAGGATTCATGCCGGTGCGGGATTCTCTGCTGGTTCGGGCAGGATTCCATGCCGGTGCGGGCTGCCTGCCAGCACCGGCCGAGTGCAATGATTCTCTGCTGGTTCGGGCAGCATCAGAGAATCATTGCACTCGGCCGGTGCTGGCAGGCAGCCCGCATTGGCATGAATCCTGCGAGCACCAGCAAGGAGCATTGCACTGGGCCGGTGCGGGCATCGGCAATGGAATCCTGCCCGAACCAGCAGAGAAGCAGTGCAGTGCGGGCAGGCGCAGGCAGGCAGCCGCCAGCGCCAGCAAGCAGCATTGCATTCAGCCGGTGCGGGCATCGGCATGGCATCCTGCCCGAACCAGCAGAGAAGCGCACTCGGCCAGTGCGCACTTGCATTGGTAGGCGCGGGCGAGCAGGCAGCCCGCACCGACACTGACCTTCATGGAAGCACTCGGCCGGGAGAGGAAAGCAGCTACCGCGGATTCAAGATGCCTGAAGGTCGAAATGGCACTGCGACGGCAGGCAAGGTCAGCACAGGCGGCCCCCTGCTCGAGCCACGCTCTTCTTACTTCTTCTTCTTCCCACGTCACGGGCATGGGCATGAAATCAATCTCTCTGCCTGTTTCTCCTATCTTTCTGATCTTCCTGCCCTTAATCCTGAGCTTTCCCATTGGCCCATGCACACACTACTCATGCAGCTCCACAAATCAACAGCAAAGATGCAGAATGTGAAGGCTGGCAGAGGATGCCGCAAAGGGAATCGCCACTACAGTCAAGGCTGAGCTGCCTTACTTGCACACAGGTCGCTGTTGCTGCTCCATACGAAAGGAAAGTCTACTCTACTGATGGCAGGCCGCCAATGCAGCAGCACATAGCGATTTTAATTGGGCAAACATCGCACAACCAGCCACCAAGCATAGTGCCTCGACTGCATGCATCGGATAGGCGCCCTGTGCAGGTCTGCAGTTTTGGGGATGCTGCCAAAGTGCCAAACACAGCTCCGACGGCGCGTCCAAGAAAGAGACCGTGAAGCTGCAAGCCATTTTGTAAGTCCATTCGCTTGGCCAATTCATTCAGCGTAAGGCCGACAATCACCGTCTTAGATTCAGCCAGCACTCGGTCTCAGCATTCAGACCAGGAGTACTGCACCCAAGTGTCCGTGAGAGATTGATACGCTATCCTTGGGGCAAACCGTGCATGAGTATGCCGTTTGGTGGGCAAGCGGGCAAAGTAAGGGAGGTGTTCGGGAAGGTCTGCCAACTCTTACCACAGGCAGAAGTTTGAAACTCCTAGCAAAGACCTCATCTCCTTTCGGGTCGCAAGGTCGCAAGAGGGAGGTGCGAGGTTGCGCAGATCGGCAGCTTACGTGCGAGACAGCCGGAAAAGGACACGTAGTTGCAAAAGAAATCTGAATAACCAGGTCGTTCTCTTGCTCCTCCTCCTCTTCGTTGAGAGTGATGGTGACGGGTCGCAGTTGCAGTTTCGATGGCGGCAGTCGCAGTGGAGGTGGTGGTGGTCGTCGTCATGGTGGCATCGGAAGCTCGTGTGTTGCAGCATTGTAGTGGCAGCGGGAGTCTGTTGGGAAAACCACCGAGCAACCCACAAATGAGAAGTAAGGCATAGCGAAAGAGAGCGGCCATGCTGAGCACAGGTAGATGCGGCTGAATGTCACTGTCACGCATGTCCATGCACGTATCTTTGATCTGACACTGAAGCTGCGATAGAGGCGTGGCTGCCCTACCGACATGACGCCCATGGCTGGGCTGCTCCGAGACAGGTCGTCGTTAAATACACGGGATGTTATGCGGCATGTGTAAGGACTGCGGCAAGACCCGTTGCTTCAGTTTCAGGATGCCGACAAAGAGTTCGACACATGACTCACGTTTGCTGACGTGCTGTCGGCTTCAGGCAGCTGCAACATCGGAACGGCAGCGGGATGCAAGAGCTTTCCATGCACCCCAAAACAAAGGCTCACAGTGTCACAGGGCCGTGGCTGCGAAGTGGACTGGCGCGACATCAACCTGCCCCATGACTGAATCGCACGAGTCTGCGAACTTTCTCAAGGCAAACAGACCCCTAACTCCTAACCTCGTCTTCAACGAGGCGGTCTTTCGTCGCGCGGCTCCAGAGGCCGGCCGCTCCATGAGCAAAGTGACACTCCTCAGAGACCTCACGAAGAGAGCCGACAGCATTGCTAGCATTGCTGTAGCTGCTAGACAGCGCTACTTCCTTCCGTCTTGAGATCTGTGCGTGCGGATGACTTTCGCCGTCTCCGCCGCGTTGCCAACCTGCGCTTGGCGCTCGAATGCCACACTGGTCGCGTTGTGGAGGTGGGTCACAGACCCAACAGAGGCACAGGTTGGCGGCAGAATCCAGTGCACGGCCGTGTCAAGATGTGTGCTTAAGCGGAGGGCGAAAGCGAGGGGCGACCAGCAAATCTTTCTCTCTACACTGAGAGCTCTGAGGCTTCGAGCCGTCATGGTTTTGACGCCGCTTCGACGGTAGCCTGACTGATGTTGGCTCAATGAGCAGACGCCGGTGCTACAGTGCGCAGCTAGTCAGATCAGTCAGATCAAAGCCTAGTATCAGGTCACCGGTCTCGATTCCTGCTGCTGTGGCCACCTCATCTTGCTTCGTTGTGGCAGCTTGCACGTCTGCAGACAACCTTCTTTCGCTTTCACTCGTCTAGAGATTTGTTCATACTTGGGCACTGGCATTGTCCGTCGACCACACCACCAACCTTGCAGGCACGGTGGTGTCCAGCCATGTGGATCTTCTACGCACTGAGAGCGAAGCGATCCACAGCCCGCGGCTGCTGGTCGAACAACGAAGTGCTTGTGCAACGTCGGCCTTTCGATCTGAATGAGGAGGCAAATTAAGGACACAAGACATATACATCTGAGCAGTCGGCTCGATCTCCAGCTCCCACTGCCTCTGCGGGTCGCCTTGAAAGTGTAGCATCTGCACGAGAAGCTTCTTTGTGCCGGTACGAACTGCTGCCCAAGGCACACTCTTCTGCTGCCGGGCTCGTGCGGCAACTCTGCCTTCCAGACCCCCTCTTCTAGCACTATACCTGATTATAACTGGAGGGCCCTGGGCAAACCTCTCGAAACACTGCCTCGGCTGCGGGTACAAGATACGGAAGGTCAGCATCCTCGGCCGTTGCAGGATTGTCGGGTGTGCTGATGTTGCCACTCATTGTCCTGCTAGAAGTCTCCGGGGCGGGTGCTTGTGATGGTCCACGGTCAGCTGACGTGTACGGCCACGTCCGATGATGCTGTCCGAGCTAGCCTCCCCGTACTCTCACAGGTGCAGGTTTGTGGGGCAGCCTGCGAACCTCCACTCTCAACTTTCCACCTGCCTTGTCGAGCAACATCATGCATCCGTTGTCTTTCAGGACCGTGTGGCACTGCTGCAGCATCCGCCGAATCGAACCAGCAGCATCCGTCCTGCAAAAGTCCGATAAGTCCCACCATCCACTACAGAACGATTCGACTGCACATATCTTGCGGTGTTAACCAAATATACGTGCATTCGGAAATAGGGTTGCTCCAGTCCTGGTCAAAAAGCAATCAATAAGTGTCTTGCCAACGATTGCATCAAAATAGCCGGCATCGAAACGATCCGCAAGTTGCAAGGCCTTGCCATCGGTCATGTGATACTGTCTACACAGCCTGCTCAAGCGACTTGTCCAGTAGGCTCGGGGCATCCCAGCATTCCCACTGGATGTCCGGATACCGCATCCTGTTGGCACTGATCACCTCCCGGACAGGTCAGAGCTACGTGATGTGTGATGTGATGTGGGTTTCATCGGAGGCCTCCTGGGAGAAGTCCACTCCGATCACAGTCACCTCAATTACAGCACAGGTCAGAAGCACAGCAACGCGCATTCCGCCCGAGATGCCGACTCCGGCATCACGCAGCATTGGGGCCAGATGCGAGCACCCACATCCGAGCTCGCAAACTCGCAGAGGCTCCTCCTAAGCTGACGAAGATATGTGCCCTCACTTCACCCCACCTGCTACGAGTAGGCTTCCGACTGTTCTTGGTAGTCCCTTCAGGACCTGAGCAAGTATCTCCAGACGGCAGTCGCGAGCATTGTGACGAATTGAACCAACCCTGAGGCCTCCGTGATTGCCTGTAGGACCTGCAAAGTCTCGCAGAAGCCAACAGGGAATATGTCAAGATATCTCAGGCTCCACGGACCAAAGCTTGAGGCGAGATGCAATGTCATTCACTGGACCACTCCACTCCACGGCTTCCCCGTGCTTTCGATACCACCTGTGGCAGCAGGTTGGGTCAAAGACTTGGGAACACCAGGAGGCCGGAGGCCGGATAGCTCTGGGCCCTATGCTGGTCCCAGAAAGTTCGGGTCTCGTAGCGGCGGCGCGGTGTCTCGCTGCCAGGCCGTGTGGTCGAGGTCCCTGTGCTTCCTGGTGAGGATCGGGCAAACTCTGGGCCCTCAGTGACCCTCACAACGGGAGAGCCTACCTTTGCTGCTGCTGCGGCTTTGGCGAAGCTTTGTCATGGCGGGTTTGGCAAAGCTGTTTTTACCTAGTCTCATGCTAATGTCAGTAGTCTATACCTACCTATGTTACTGCATATCCTGTAATCCCATGTTCCTCCGACTGTGCGGCCTGCACGATGTCACGCTTGCTGCCGCGGGCAACTGTGCCCCGCACAATGGTGCCCAAGCCAGATGCTACACATCTTTGAGCCAGCACCCACGCACCCCAAGAGTGCCAGTTACAGATGATGCTGCGAACTCTCGAAATCCGTTTGTGGAACCAGCAGGGGTGCTGCTGCTTCTCGAAGGCTTGCTCTGCCGGCCGTGTGAACATCGGCCGGTATCAACTGTGACTCTCCAATGGCATCGACGGCAGGGTGAAGGGGCAGGGAATAGGACAATCGGATAAACCCTGACCGTAGCCTTAACACGAAACCTTGCAGTTCAAACCAGAAGTTGGTCCGCCAAAAAGGGCGGAGGGGGGCATCATGATGGGCCGCGGCTCGTCCAGGCTGAGGTTACGAGGCTTCATATCGAGGTGCTCCTCTCTGACAGTTTTTTACCGGAAACCTGAAACTTGCTGTGGTGAAATTAGGGAACATGTTTCTTTCCATCGTGGCAGGATCCTGGATCCTCAACTGCTGGTGTTGACATGAGCTGACGCAGAGAGTGGCTCGGTCAGACCTCTTGTTGAGAGCAACTGCGACTGAGAAGCACATGCCCCGCTACCTGTGCAAACTCGTGACAGGAGGCATCGAAGTCCTGACTGACTACACCATAGCAAGCATCTCGGCAGCAGAAGGTGAGATTTCAGGGCGGCGGGTGAGCACCGGGGTTTGAAGCTGAAGGATCTGCTCCCATATTTCTCAGAAATGCTATGTGGGCTCATCTTCTTGTAGCACGTGTGTGTACTGCGAGCATGACAGGCCCCACGAAGTAAGATGCTACGCAATTGCTCTTATCAAGGGGGAAAAGGAGGGGCCCTTAATGGGGACCGCTACCCTATAATGGGCTATATAATGGCTACATAATGGGTATATAATAGCTATATTAAGGGTATATACCTAGGGGTCCTTATTAAGGGTCCCTCCTTTTACCCTTGGATCTTAGTAATTTTAGCATTCAACGCCGGCTTTGGCACTGGGGTCCAGCAAACAAGCAATTCTGAGATGCAGTTGCAACATCTAAGTAGAGGCCCTCACTAGCTCGTAGGAGGACCTCGGCCTACGGGTGGCTTTGGGCTCCGTGAGCAGATTGAGTGCAATGTGCAATCAAAGTTCCCATCCCTCGATGTATGGCATCGTGCCCGTGTTCAATACACCCAGCAACCCTCAAACCGGCTTTATCTGCGGGCGCTTCAGACGATGCGCTCTAAGGCACGTGGGCAGCGCTTTGCGCACAGGAACTCAGCCAGGAGCCCGAAGGGTCGCGGCACACACGAGCTTCTTGCCGGGGTTCGTGTGGCTGGAGGATTCTATGTCAGTGCCAGGCGACTCTACTGGAAGCTGACGGCAGTGCCCAACTCAGGATCAGATTGACATTGACGACTGATAGACTTAGCAACTTTGGCCAGAAACACGGAACCTGCTGGCTGGCCTGGAAAGGCATGTAGACTCTATGTAGACTTTCAGAGGCGTTCTGCTGGGAATTGCTGAGGGCAGGGCCTGTCAATGCAGGGACCTAAGCTGACTCCCGTATCTCTCACGTTCCACGCTGAGCTTCTGCATGCGGCAACACATGGGTTCTCAATCGCTCTTTAGAAGCGTGCTGCGTCAGCGTCTGCTTGAGCTGCGCAGTCAACGCCTTGCCACTTCCCAGTTCAGGCTCAGTCCTATAGAACACTGCCGAGGAATCAAGTCAAGAAGTCTATGCGCATACGAACTTCCTCGACCTGAGCACTATGCGCGACGCATGGCGATGGCAGCTTCCTGTGGGCTGAGCAGACTCTGCCGATGAAACAAACCCGTAAACCCATGAGTTCCTATGAAGATCATGAAGAGACAAGCAGTGAAAGATCTCAGACAAGCAGGAGACCACAGCGCAGGTTGGAACCACTCCCCCACCCTAAGACCCCAAAGCGCCACCAGGCAACGGCGGCAGGTAGACAGGCCGTGAACCAAACAGCGCAACATGGAGTTAGAGATGCAGAGAGAGAGAGAGAGAGAGAGAGAGAGAGAGAGTGTGAGTGAGTGAGTGAGTGAGTGAGTGAGTGAGTGAGAGAGAGAAAGTGAAAATAAAAAGGAGAGAGCGAGCGAGACGGCGAGTGGGAGTTTCGATTCTTTCATTGTGCCTCAGGGTTTGCCTGGGGTCCGTCCGGCTCCACCTTGGCCACACGACACCCTAGACGGGAATCTTGCGCTCCATGTCAGCTTGAGCTGCAGTATGGCACTATGCACACATGCCTCTTGTTGAGAACCGGGCGTTCCCTCGCAGTTCGTCTGCAAGTTTCCTGCCTCCCACTGCAGAGCTTCGCGTGCGAATATGCAGCACATCTCACATGCATGAACTTTAGTCGCCTGCGTCCTCCGGCAGGGCAGGCTGACCTGCACCTATGCACAGGCTAGAGAGGCGCGTGGCAACGCGCTCGCTCGGACATGAGCGCCAGACATGCCCTTTCCGCAGCGCGAGCCGCTGTGGAGTGGCCGTTCAGCTCGGTGAAACGACTCAGCCTGCGTTCTTTATGCCAATCTTACTGAGAATGCAGGCTCAACTGCAGGCCACCGCACCAGCCCCATGTTTGCCAAGCTCCCGGCTCCGACTCCCTTTCAAGCCTCTTCTTTTCCATGAGGGCTTCTCCTTATCAGCTGCTTCGTGAGTGATCCAAGTACCGTGTTTGAGCGGGAGTATCTGAGTCGGTAGAGGTTGCGGCGCCGCTGTCTCAGATGCTCGGCCCTCGCTCTTCGTTCTTCCTTTTATGCAAACCACAATGACCCACGAGAGCCAATCTCTGTGCTGGACACGCCTCGGAGGGCTGCTGTGGATTTCGGTTCTGCTCCGCTTGCCGACCTGGCCGAAGGCCCGTCGACTGGCAAGCCCTGCTATGGGGCCAGGGAAGGCTCGCTTTTGCAATAGGCGCGCATCTCTTCCTCTGCTGGAGTCGAGCACCGGAGTTCGGCGCGGAGGAACGCCGCCGCAAGCAACGCTTAGACGCTCTGTGGCATTTAAGGCTGATCCTTCACAGCTTTTTCATGCCGGCTTGTGCAGCATGCGGGCTGTCCTACACCTTCTTAAGCTTCATTCCGAATCCATGGCTGGGCTACGACCTGCGCAAGCAGACTAGAAGAAACGCAAGGCAAGTTCATGGGTTCCGTCTGTTGACTACAAGGTGGCTAGGCATGACTTCGACTTCTGTATTTCTTGCCGACGTGCCTCAGGAGAGAAGTAGTGAGCTATTCCGTGAAAGTTGGAGCACCTTCTAGACATTCGGGCTGTTGCAGCCCAAACCTGCCCTTCCATGCCTCTTGAGAGTGGGGCGTGGCGAGGCCCGTGGCGAGCATCTCAGACAGCTTTGCCAGCCCAGTCCTGCCAACAAACAAACATGGCTTCCTTGATGCCACAGCCGGGAGGAAGCAACAAGACTGACACCACATCATGAACAGTCCCACCCGTTTTCGCAGGGACGATCCTTTTCAAACATCTTGGTTCCGCGCTCCACGTACTTCATCACACCAGCGGCACCCAAAAGGATGCAACCAGCTACAATCCTCCCAGATTCATCGACAAGCAGGAGCTGCACTCGCTGAAAAGTTCGGCCAGTCCCCAGCGTAAGGGCTGCTCAGGCCAGGGGGCATCAGGATGCACAAGCACAGGCCGACGAATGCCTCAGAACAGAAGGGACCTTTCTTCGAATGAAAACCCTCAATACTACATCGTCGTCTCATCCAAGTCACAGTAGTTTGGATAAGCTGATCTTGCTCAGAAGCTGCCATGGGGAAGCTGCATCAGGACCCACCAGGAAGGCAATCGACTCTGGTTTGCGACTACAGCTGCTCTGTCAGCCACAAGCCGCAGATTCTGTTGCGTTACGACGTTGGATGCCACATGTACTGCACAGTCCTCATGTGCACTGTGTTGTCAAGTTCCTGGCATGAGCGCAAAGCAACGTGTGTAATTCAGGGCTCCGGCGGGCAGCGCTTGCCTGTGCGACTGCGATTTGAGCACGTTCCTGCTGCTCAGCTGCCTCCCCGCAAGGGCATCTGCAAAGCGTTCTCGTGTTTGGATCCGAGTTCCGGGCATCCAAACGTCGTCTCTCTTCCTTCTCACTGAGCCCATAGTGTCTCCGAAACCCGGCACAGCTTCATCTTGAACTCTCAAGTTTGAGTGCAAAGCCGCATAGGGATCTTCTTGAGTGATGGGTGAAGCTCCTTCGTGAAGGATTCATTGACAATTGAACTGCAGCATCTCGTGGTTCACAAAGCCGCACGCGACCGCGACAAGCCTATGCCGCCATCGAGGAGAGGCTGAATCTGGAGAGTTGGCGGCAAGCTGAACTGCTCCTTCAGTGCAGTGGCATTTCGTCAAAGTGGACCCTACCCTGCCAGCCTAGTTGGGCCGCAGTCCTGCTGCTGCTGGATCATCTGTGCTGCAGCAAGTGCTGCCTGCTGTGCAGCTTCAGCCTCCGCCTGGAATCGGATCTTATCTGCAAGCCCAGGAGTTCATTTTCATATAAGTGCTCTAGCGTGTGAATCTAGACATGTGTAAACAGACATGTACCTGACACGTAGGCTCCTGATCCTCCGATGCGACCGAAAAGCCGGTCATTATGGGGTAGGGGCTGCCTGCCTGAATCCGCCGGAGTCCTATCTACGCCATGAAGCTCAAATCTGCATAGCGCGCTTCGGCACGAAGAAGATTCTTCGACCTCTACTGATCGTTCCGTGCAATCTACAAGAATGGCCTGGGCGGACATGCTCTCGGCATGCGCGCTGAGATGAGCCTCAGTGATGCAAACAGGAGAAGCTGCAAGGTTCAGGCTGAAGCAGCATGCCGGGCTGTGTGCCAATGTATCGTGCAGATGGTCTTGGAGAGCATGCAGAGCGCAGAGGCAGAGTGCATACGCTTTTTGGCACCTTTTGTGCCACTTCGCTTGCCCTTGCCCTTGCCCCTCCAACCAGCCTCGGCCGACCTGTCCATGCAATTCAACTTCTGCATGCACCACAGGATCGACTCTGAGTGCATCCTGGTGTGAACAAGCATCTGCTTGCAGTCATCGCCTCCAGCGAGGGTCAGAAGAATTCGTTGTCAGATTCTGTTGACAACGACGTTCTTCTGCGTCGAACCGCGCACAGGCGTCAACGGCAGCCTGCCAAGCCTGCTGCACTCTCGTAATGGAGCATCACAACACCAGGAATGGCTAAATCGGATTCTCCCTTCCTGGTTCTCGCGGATCTTCGGTGACACCGCGGGCGATTTCGTCAGACCAGCTTTGTGTTGTTGGAGTTCCCACTCGCTCAGGCTGCGAAGCTCTCCTCAGAAGGCGAGATTTGACTTTAGTTCTTCTGCAATTCATCGCTGCATGCTTGCTGACTTCCCAGGATCATCATGCATGGGAAGGGGCTGAGGGCTCCGATGTCTTCCTCAAGCTGGGGACCTACTAAGTCCCACCTTGCCACGGCACGCTTCTGAAACCGGTTGCGAGGCAGTTCGGCTGAACTGTGTGACAACCCGGGCTGCTGTGCCTAATTCCCGACGGCTTGCTGGCAATCCGATTGCAATGCACGAGGCCGCTGGGAGTTGCAAAGGCATCCACCGGCAAGTCGTGGCTCTCCATCCTTAGTAAGTGCAGTGGCAAAGGAACCCCGCCATCTCTGAATTCTCCACAATAGGCTAAGGGCTACGGCTAAGGGCCATTACCGTCTTGCTCTGATGAGACTCATATCTGCGTTGAGCTGAGCAGGCTCCACCACTTGCAAGTCGTGGCATATGCTGAACCTTGGTGTGGCATCTAAGCAGAGGTGTTTGTGATTGTGAGAACGCATGCTGCGGGCAAAAAGGCACGGGTGTTGTGTCGGGATCCGCTGCACCCAGCGCCGTGAGGATTCCCCACTCCACCTCGCACCAAGCACTTTGGCGCATCTTTCACCCTCCAACTTCCAAGCTGCTACGCCTCGCCGTAGCCCTTGCCCTTTCCCAAACGCACTCCGTTTGAGGCGACCACACCTTGTCAGAGGAACGGTGCAAAGCGAGCCAGCATGCGCGATGCGCTTGCTACAGCCACGAACATCCGGGGAACAGGTAGCCACGACGACCACGTCGACAAGTGGGATGTCCTTGGTGTCTGTCGTATCTAGGAGCTGCATTTCGGGAGTTGCCATCTCGATGTGGCATGGTGCACCCAGCCGAGGCTCGAGTAGTTTTAGGGGTTTGGCCCACTTCAAATACTCTCGCCTTGACAGGTTTGAGACTTGAGATCAGCAACATCTGCCGGTCAGAGCCGAGCAACGATAGCCGTCTGGGAGGCTCTGGGACCCGGGACCCCCTGGAGGCCCTGGCTTGTCTCCGGCCCTTTCCAAGGATCCGCTGGGGAAGCAGTCTCGATGAAGCTCCAGATAAAGAAAATCAGCGCCAGGGTATGGTGGTACAAGAACCTGAGGTTTTTCTCCCGCTTCAATGCATGTGGGCAGGCCGCACATGAGTGGTCGAAGGGACCGAATACTGCAAAGAAAGAGCGGTCTTTCCTGCGAGCACCAAAGCTGTTCGCAGAGCCGCAGCGCCGATGGAAGGGTGCACCTTGACCACTGAAGCCTTCTGCAGCTCCGGAAGTGCCAGGAGATGCCGGCCTGCTGCAGCGAGGAGAGGAGTCCACAAAATTTGCAAGGCCCCAAGAAATCGCGCTTCACGGAAGGGTGCCGACACGCCAGAGCTGATCCCACGCAGTTGGGAATTCGGCCATGGCATGGGCGTGGGAAAAGGACAGCATCTTGGCTCTCCAGCCTGTCCCATACCTGGGCGCCGAGAACTTCAGCAATCCCACCCCTCCAATCCCTGGCAGGCGCTTGGCCCTAGCTGGCCTGCTGTCTCAACGCAGCCTTCCGCGAATTGCTCCGATCCTCTTCGGCTTCCATTCGAGTTCGCACGCTCCAGCAATGCACTCCCTCTTAGTCTTACTTGCAGCGTTCATCAGCCAGAAAAGTTAAACGTTCAGTCAATAGCAAGGGTGTATGACCCCTCAGAAAATTTGCTAGGGAGTCTTTCGAGCCTCTCGCGGCTACGTCTAATGCGCGTACACGGCTCACTTGCCGAAGTTATCTATAGCTCGGCTTGCTGCTGCCATCTCGAGCACCTCATTGAGTGCCTGCCCAAGGCGTTTTCTTCCTAGTTGGAGGGCCTCGGAGCCTCGGACTGCAGTGAAGTCTCGACATGGCGCCTCAATGAGTTGCAAGCGCTTCTCCAAATGTCTGGACCTTGGCACTGGTGACCGCAATGAAAATGTGTTCGCAGCCCGATAGGTTGGAGCAAAACCTTGACACTGCACTGATGCGATCGGGGTCCACGGTGCTTCTCAAGCTGGCACGGCTATCTTGAATCTTGACATTGACATGGTCACCATCCTACATCGTGTACTGTGGAAATCCATTTCAAAATCACCATGACAACTCACTTTCTTCGGGGTCCGATCTTGTAAGAGAAGTCTGGGACGCCAGCAGGGCAATGGCCAGCTGAAGCTCGGCCTTCTGTGCAGAAGCAATGCTTGCTTATGCGTTCGTGTCTGAAGCTTTGGTACTCCAAAATTTGTGAACTTGTCTCCATGGGGTGCTTTATGCAGCAATGATGGATTTCATCAGCACTGCCTCGACACACCGTTGTTCAGCTTCGAGGCGCACTAGCCTTTCTGCCTGCAGACAAAGCTTGGGCTCCAAGTTCTGCAGTGAGCCCGCAGTGTCAAGGAGAGTAAGACAGCGTAGAGGAACATGATGAGCACGGCCTCCGTCTCCAGTTCCTCCGTGTGTGGTGGGGCCTTGAGCTGCACTACCAAAACACTCCTAGCCTGACCAATGCAAACCAGCTTATCCATCCGGTATTGTGACACATGTGACCCCGTAGGTGGCCCTGGTGGAAGCAAAATTTCAGTGCAACACGGGGACCGCATCGTCCGCCACCACCTCGACAAATGCGTGGCTGGCAGCCATAAAGGTAAAGCGCAGTGTTAGAACATGTCTAGATCACGAGATCGTCCAAGCGCCCGGCAATCTGACCGACAGGGTTGAGCCTCGGACTCGGACTTACTGCGTCCGAAGTGGATTGCCAGCCGCTCCTTAATAACCCCACCTTGCACGCCACATTGCAGGCACTGCTCGTTTCTCCATGCTATAAGAACCCAACGCTTCTCTCGAAAGCTCCGAGTTGCGCTTCAACATCATGGCCTGACAAAGTCCGGAAAATGCTCATCGCTGGGCAACATGGACAAGCCTTGAAGACCAGGAAGTCGTCGACACCTCGCGTCTTCGCTGGAAAGCTGGTCGAAAGGGGCAACGTGCAATTCCGTGCGTATCGAACATGTTCTGGATTGCGGCCCAGCGTCTTATCAACTGCTCCACCAGACTTCTGTGGAGCTCGTTGCTGCCCTGAAACGAGGATGCCAAGCAAAACGAAATGGCCGAAACCTGAGCTGGGAATCTGGCCGACAGCCCGTATTCACAGAAGCTGGTGAACCTTGAAGGACAGCGACCGCTTCAGGCACGGAAGCCATCCCTTTGCTTGGCAATCTCCAAGCTTTCAGCACCCATGTCTGGTTTTCAGGGGGTGCGGAGTGTAGGCCAGTGCAGTCGGTTGTTGCTGGCCCTCTCGCTTGGCTTTCCTCAATTTCTATTAGCTCGAAACCTGAGACTGTGCTGTCCAGCCACTCTTCTGTTGAGATTTGCAGCTCCGCAAGGTGGGCCTTGGTTTGGAGGTCAACGGAGGATAGATTGTTGAGCCGTGGACATCCGTGCACTTTGCAACTTCTGAGTGCGGCTCTGCCAACAGGTCTTCGACCTGTTCGAGGCTGTCCACAGCTGGGAAGAGGAGAACAAGCTACCTATATAGAACAAACAACACGGGTTTTACGCGGCTTAACCAAGCTCCGCTGCATGCGTTTCCGTTTCCTCCTGCTGTCCCTTGCTTCTGCGCGTAAACTTTGGCTGGTGGGGGTCGGGCAGGCTGACCTCAGAAGTGTTTCAAAAATGGTTTCAACACCCCCACCGTGGAACAACTTCTCGTGCCGGACCATCCCAGAAGGCAAACATATCCAGAGGCAAGAGTCGCGGCTCCCTGACTTTTGGCTGCCTCTGCACTCGTGGGGCGCTTTCCGGGTGTCGTTGGCCGTTGGCTGACGGACCGCTGCTCAGCCGGTGGCCAAAGCGGACCCGCACTTCGTGAAGACCCGATGCACGGTTGAGTTCCCGACTAGTTGCTTGAAGGCATTGTGAACCAATGTGTACTCCAACCTGGCGCATCATGCATGCTCTTCGCAGCGTCCATTTCGGATTGCCACTTTCACAACGTGTATGCGACCGAGTATTGAAACGTGACAGCCCCGCTTGTTCTCCTGCACCGACAGTGCTTGCATGCAGACATCTGCTCCGTCTCTCACTTTGGCATCCTCCTGATCTTCGAAACAGAGGCAATTTTGATCGACGAACTGGGAGACTGGAACCATCCATGTGGGCGACCTGAGCAATGCGCTATCGGCTTGGGGGGGGGGGGGGGTCTCGCAGAATGCTGCCAAAACTAAGCCAACAAACCACCTTTTCGATCCAGCACGGGCAATGCTGGTCACCAGGGCACATGTAACGCAGCCACACAGGTCCCCGTGCGAGGCCGCCTAAGACCTAAGAGAAACCTATGAAGATGCGAATTCTGCAAATCAAGTCATGGCGTCGATGCCGGCAGACAATGCGCGACAGCGGCACTGTCCTCAAACACGAGCCAGGCGGTAGATCAAGCCATGGATGTGGTGGCCTGTCAATGCAACAATGCAACAGGTGACACCAGGTGATGTCAGATGCAAGCTGCACAAAACTTGCAGGGAAATTCTGTACGCTTGCCTCTTGCAGGGCTTGGCGCAGGTGGACAAGCTCCTCCTCGCGCCTTTGCACCTGCAAGCTCTGGCATTAACATTTCTCCCAGGTGCATTCGTCGAAAGTTTGGGGAGCCAGTGACCGTGCCTCCACCCGGTGAGTTGCCGAGCACTGGTTCCGCTAGCAAGTGGGGTTTACTTCCGAGCAGAACAACTTGGAAGCCCAGCCCTGCCCCGTCCTCTGCAGCCAACTCCAAGCACTTGTGGCGATAAAAGTCTGCATCCTGCATGCTTCTACAGGGTGGGGTGTGGTACATAGGTGGATCTAGACAGGAAATGGAAAGGTCGTACGTATGCATATGTAATATGCATATATACATATATATATATATATACATGCGTGTGTATGATGTGTACATGTCCATACTTAGCTCTGTCTCTCTTTCTGAGGGGTAGGTCTCCCTTTCCCCCACTGCTCGAGTGCGCACCCGGTTTTGGAGTGGCCATGACTGCAGGTCACGGTCCATCTTGATCTCTCTTTCTCTCTTTGTTCTCTCTCTGCTCCTCCCAGGCTTAGGGGGGCGAGTTCAGCCCTGCGGCCAGTATCTGTACCTGCACCCACATGTATGCATGCATACACACATGCGCACAAGCCGTATGCATACGTGCCCCCAGCATACATGCACAGAAACATGCATACATGTATACATGTGTACATGCGTAGGTACATGCGTACAACATGCATACATACATTGAAATGCACATACATGTGTACGAACATACGTGAATGCGTGTATACCTATCTACCGACAGATAAACAAACAGATAAGTATGCGTATAGGTGCATGCACACTTATGCATCCATCCGTCCATCCAGATATTCGTGACCATGTAGCGATGGATGAATTTTGCAGTCAACCCGTCCGAGTTATGCAGGTCCAACTCACGTCTGTCTCCGTCTTCCAAGTTGAAGCCGGGTGATCCAGAGGTCGTGACAGGTGCCGTTGTAGTCTGAGGGGACACCGACAAGCACAGCTGCTTCTCGAGGTGGTCGAGCGCTGCTCGAGTGTCTGCAAGAACTTTGTCATGAACTTCTGTTGCTTGAGCCTGTGTAAACAGCTTCAGATCCGTTCTGTTGGCGATGGGTGGCGGAGGCAGGTCCAATGTTGTCGTAGGCGCAGTGGAGGGACTTGATGGAGAGGGCCGGCCCATCTCCAAAGTGTCGAGGTCAGTGGTCTGAGACTCCTCTTCTTTGATGATATACTGCCGATACTGGCCCCACTCCTGCAGGGTCATGGACATAAGTCACAAGATGTCACAAGATCAGCTGGCTCCAGAAGTCCTGTCCCATCAAGGATCCGAAGCTTGGCATCCACTCTTGAACCGCTTCTTGTGCGTAGCCATCTTGTGCAGCTCCTTGGTACATCAACGCGGTTCTTGACGAATGGCTGGCCACTGAAACAACCTATTGAATCCCGGTCTGACTTTCGAGTCCAAATTTTGTGGGTGGTCTCTTTCATGATTCCAGACAGTGCACTTCGTAGCCCTTCCAACGTATCTATAATGATCGTGCAGCAGTGTTTCCATGGCTTGCGACGCTGCAGCGCCGGCGAGGTGGCTGCCTTTCCTGCACAACACAGGTGGTACTTAGTTCACGTAGATCTGCGCAGTGGGCAGAGCGATTGCGTCAGTCCTGGAGCAAGGTCTCCACAAGACTGGCCAAGGCCTGACGTTCGGCTCTTTCCGCAGCCATGTCCTGCCGCAGCTGAGCGAACTCCTCCTCCAGACCTTACTTCGAAGGAGGACAGAAGCGGTACACCGCTGAAACCTTTGAGGTTTCGGCTCAAGCCGGCAGCAGGCACAGCTGTGGCTGCAGGGGCCCAGATTCCACCCGCGCCATTCCTGCTCGCCTGAATTCGAAGTCAAGACGTTCCATGGCATGCCTGCTTGCTTGTGCTTCTCTACGTCCGGTGCCATTAATCTAGCGTCTCTCTGATAAACCGCCAGATTACACCCGTGAAATCTGGCCCAGCAAGTAGTACCCTAGAACCCGTCTGTCCCAGGCACTTGCAAATTATTCCTGTCGTGAGACAAACTTAAAGCACAAGCCATAAGCAAAAGGAACAGAGGGGACAAAATTGATGATGAGTTGTGAGTTCTGGCATGTTCTGCTGTGTGCCCCGCAGGTCCGCTGTTAAATCAAGCAGCCAGTCCATTGCAGGGCCGCGGGAGCTGGCCAGGGCTGGCTTTCAAACGGCGCGGCGTCACCGTCCAGGGCTGTCCCAGATGCAAAGGCGCTTGCATCAATCGCGAGTCCCTTTCACGGTGCAGCTCGTCAGAAAGCTGCAAGCACACAGCGCAGGTGGAAGTGTAATGCGGTCCAGGTTTCTGGATGTATGGACCAGAAGCCGTGTGCCGCTCCCACGTCCCGCTTGCGGAGATGCTGCCTCACATGGGACCAAAGATGCCGCGGCCGGAGAGCATGTTGATTGGGGCGAAGAGAAGTCCGAGACCAGAGCTGGGAGAAACACTAGAAGCCATGGTACTCTCGGAGCCTGGAAAAAACACAAGAAGGTGTGGAAGCGGGATGTGGGCTCAGTGTGCCAGCGGTCCAGTACAGCTTTTGATCTGCAGCTCTTGCGAACGCGAGGCCTACGCTCCGACGTGCAGTCACTGCTGGGCGTGCTGGCAAAACTCTTTCGACCTGTGCAAATGCCAATGAAACCACACCACATGTACCCTGGCAAGTCTGCTATGCTGCGATCTCCTTTGCCTTGGCAGGCCGTGGCTCTGCCAACTCTGCGTCCAACTGCGCAGCCAAGCGCTGGAATGCTGCTTCGCCCAATCGAACCGCTGCGTCCCCTCGGTAGCTATCTGATACGAGCAAACAACGGCACGCACGCCGGACTATACGAAGGATCAAGCTGAGACGGGCACTAGACAGAGGCATGATCGCTGCAGTAGCCTTTGCGAGTTCAAAGCACTGACAAAGCCCAAACGGATGCTCGCTCATTTACAGGTTGCAAACGGATCATCAATTTCACTCTTGACCCTTGACTTGAAAGCTTGAACTGCATGTTGCAGTCGCGCAACGATCGGGTCGCTTCAAAAGCAGCTTACTTTTTGAGGCTGAGACGTCATTGCAAGCCTTTCGCAGCATGGCCAGCCACTCGCCTGGAGAAACACTTCATGGTGTAGAGTCTAGCTCACGCAGGCTTGACGTCTAGAGTCTAGAGTGTGCTGACGCCTGCTGGCCAGCTGACGGCTTCCAAGCCATGTGTCGCCAGCATTCGCAACCCAAAGCACCGTAGCTCCTGCACACAGCGAGGCTGCTCTCGAAGGGGCAGTGAGGGGCAAAGTGGTCCTTGGGGGTCCAATGTTCACCATCGTTCGAGGAGGAACGCCGCACAAAATCCACTGCCTCTTGCAGAGCCATTTCCTTGGATCCCAGACGCGCCTCGAAGTAACAGCACTTCCCACACCAGGCTCAAGAACAGCTAGAGTAGAAGTGGCCAGAATCGGTGGATTCTGAGGGCCACCTCTTGAGAGCTTCTCTGATGATGCTCAGCTGCCGCATGCACCTCCAGTCGCGTTTGGTCCCGGGAAGTGGCCATGCTCGCTGGCATGGTGCCTTGTCCGATCTTCCGCCAGTGGCGCATGCGGAACCAGCCGTTGTGGAGATTGGCTGCGCGCTTGGACGACGGAACCTGCCATGCAATGCCATGCATGATGCTAGGATGTTCTGCATGTGTGTCTGCGTGCGAATGATTCGAATGTGAAAGCTGGGGCTCGCTTTCTTTCTTTCGCCACACGGCTAGGGCGAAGAGTTTTCCCCCTCCACCCCCCTCTCTTCCTGCCACAGGGGCCCGTCACTCGCTCTCTCTCGTTCTCTCTTTTCCACACACCCAAGAGGAGTCGAGACGATCCAGCCGCACGCATGCATGCGCGGTGGTTGAAGAGACTCTTCCTTCCTTCATTCCGTTGAGGCGAGGTCCGAGTTAACGGACATGTGCCAAGGCACCCCCCTCTCTCTTAAGGCAGCCACCCTCGACATCGCATACTTGCACACTGTACTGGTGACCACATTCTGGCCTCCACTTAGCTTCGCGGTTGCTTTTGCGTAGTCCACATAGTATAGGGGATGAAGCTGCCGACCACGGTAGCTAGTTTTTTGGGGGAACGCTTGTCGAGGGAACCTAGGAACGTGCCACGGAGGACGCGGAGACGAGGCCGGATGCGTGACACAAGAATTTAGGGTTGAGGTTGGTTCCACGACAAATGCACGCTGCACGCTTCCACGCGTACCGGCCACTGGAGTGAAAAACAAACCACTGACCCGAAGACATTTTCTGTCAAGAAACCGGGCTGGCACGAGTATCGGTGGGCTCCCCCATTAAAGTCTGGCAGTACGGGAGTACATGCTAGGTCGTGAAAGCAGCTGCTTTGTGGGTGTCTGTCGACTTCCCCGAACAAATAACAAGCCAACACTGACACTTGCATTCACTACTCACAGTATCGGTGGGTTCCCCATGGTTCCCCCTGAAAGGTTACGGTACACAAAAGCTGGGGCCGGCTACGCAAGCCCCCTCCCCCAGTCCGCCGTCCACCGCAGCAGTAGCTGTTCGTGCAGCGCCCGTGTTCCGTAGGCTCTGGTCACTTGGGCGAACTTTGTTGTGACACAATGCGGCCCGGATTCTGAACAGGTGGGACCGCCCTGTGCTGAACCTCAAACCAAGCAAAGCAGCGCTCTTTTTTCTTGGAGGTGTCAAGCGGCTCCTCCCTCCGGCGGAAGGCTTGCAGCTCTCGTCGCAGAAAAGCCTCCTCATCGGCTGAGATGAGAAGCGTCTCCTGTGCTGCCTCTTCCAGCGCTGATGAGTCTCGCATCGATGGGCTGTAGAGGACGTTCTGTGGAAGATCTTCACAGGCGGTGCCCAACCGGTTGAGATGCAGGAACACGTCCGTTCCGAAGCCATCCAGAGACAATATCTTCAGGTCGCCCCCGAAGTATTTCGCATAAAGGCGTCCCAGCGTGAGACCCACGCCGAACCCCGCAAGCACGCCGCCCTGTTTCGGGCGCTGTAGCGGATTGCTGGCCGAGTCCCCGGGCTTTGTCTGGAATTCCTCTTCCCTCCTAGCCGCCCTAGCCGCAGCCCACGGCGACTTTTTGGAAGTGGTGTACATGAACTTCCAGATATTGGGAAGGTGTGCACGGGAGATGCCACCACCCTCGTCACTTACGCGAATCGTCACGTCTTCATTGCCGTGGACAATGTGGCAGTGGATCGCCGGTAAAAGGTCGTCGAAACCATCGGCATGGCGCTCGACAACGGCGCGGCAGGAGTTCTTGAAAACCTCCACGAGCATGTAGTGCAAGTGCATTGGCACATAGGTGAATGTGCTTGGGTTCGTGTGGTGGATTTTGATGGGTGGGGCTTGTCCCTTGTGGGCCCTGCAAAGCATGGAGCTGTCTTTGGCTGCCTTCTGCGCGATAATGGAGGGATCGCATTCGATCTGCAGGATCCCAGAGTGCCCCTCGCGATTCCTGAAGGACTCGATATGGTGTTGGATCAGGAAACGCATTCCAATGCGAGCAGTGAAGAAACGGCGAAGTATAGCATCGACCTCCGCTTGCACAGAAGCGTAATCCTCCTGAAGCTCGTAGATGAGGTCTTGAACCCCAAATGCCATCGCTTGGATGACTTCTGAGTGCTCCTCGAAGATGCGGGTCAGGAGGTTTGTAAACTCCTCGTCCAGTTCCTCCGTGGCTGGACTGGGCGAGTCTTCTAGCAGGTGCATGAAGTGAGTATACCACTCGATCACGTCCCGGATACCTCGTCGAGCTCCCAAACGGTACGGTAGGGACGTCAGCTCCAGGATCCTCTGCGCCAGGCGGATCCGAAGCTCCCGGTGAAGGAAGATGCCGTGCTCGCGACGCCGCCGGCTGTCTAATCCAATCTCGCAGAGATCCCGCAAAGTCACGGAGGTCGGTGTCTGCTCGGCCCAGCGTAGGACGCAACTATCCACTTCAAGCACTTCAAGTCCAAGTCCCCTGCTTGAAGCGCTCGTGAAGGAGCGAGTGCAGGCGGGAATTGCGGGAACCACACATCGGCGCCTTAGCTGGGAACAGGCCCTGGCCACCAGCAAACTGCAGCCTCGGCGAACATGGCAAAAGACCATGAGGTGTCCGCCGCTGTGAGGGGCTGATCTCACCCTTGTTGCATCCAGCCCGCAAGGGCATCTGCTTAGAATCTCGCTTGTGAGCCTTGAGCCCACAGCCTATAGGCACTCGAACATCAATCACAAGCACGGGTGTATACACAGGAGTTTTGTCGAGCTCCTGCAGAAGTGCACTGCCGTCGCCTGCACGCCGTGCATCTCGCAGGTCCAAGGTGATGAAGCGCTGGTGCTGCGTGGGCGCAGGTATCGCCTGACGGTCGTGCAAGCTTCGCCGAAGCATCAACGCAGGGCAACTGTGAACCGTATCAATTCTCGCCATGTCTGAGAACCAGGCTTGCATGTACCTTATTGCGAGAAGTTCCGCATTGCAAGAACAACAGAGCGATGCTGCGAGGGTGCCTCGATGGCGGCGGCTGTGAACACGACCGAGTGTCCTGTACTGGCCTGGCGGGCTTGCAGCTACTCGGCTACTCGGAGACTGCGGAAACCGCTTCCGTGCACGCCGCGAATAGGGACTCGATTGTTTGCACAACTTGACCCTATGTGCACAGTAGCCTGGCGGCTTCCAGCGGGCATGCCCGGGGATGGCCTGGTACCATCTCAAACAGCTCGAACAGAGGAGAGGGTTACCAGATGCGCTGCATTGCCTCCGGCGATGTGAGCCAGCGGCGTAGAAACAACCCCGCCGGATTCTGAGTGGGTCGGAAGAAGTGCCACAGCTCTCCTCGTGGCCCTGTCCCGGGAGTTCCGACCCCCAAGCCGCAGACTGAGCACGGGTCTCGCGAGGACCCGACTGCCCTGAAAAGTTCCCGGACATCAAACAGGCAGAATGAGTGCGTCGTGCGTGCTTCGAGCGCCAGACCGTGAGCCAAGCATTGGTGGACCCGGCCTCCAAAGGACATCTGCAAGAGATCTTTAAACACCACGACAGCAATGCGAAAACCTCAAAGTAGGGCCTCCATGGACGCCAGCGATGCGTTACCCGAAGCATGCATAACGGCTGGCTCTGCAGCGAACGTCTTTGAACTTAGGGGCTGGGATGGTGAAACTATCTGAGACTTGGATTTGCCAGATGGGGCCTTGGAATTGCGGGGCTGCCCCGGCTATCAGTGTACGTCGGCGAAATGCATCGTGTGAGAACTCCCTGGCCATCTGCTCATGTGCCTATATGGCGGCCTGTGTGTCAGTTGATGCCATTGGGGCATGGTTGGGAATGGGTCAAGGCTGCGGAAGCAATTTGCCACCACCATGTGCTGCTGTCAAACCCCTTGGCCACGAGCTTGAAGATCCCAACGATCAACTGCGAGGTGCGATCCTGGGGCATTCCGAGTCCAAGGTCTGGAAAGCACAGACATTTGAAGCAGTTCCCCCTCCTGGTCTTCAGCCATGGACCCCGTCAAACTTGGGTGGGAAGGCTCTCGAATCGTACTTTGAGCCCATGGAGCACCAGAGCAGCTTCGACAGCCTTTTGTAGCCCCTTCCCTCCATCAGAGTCATCAGAGCAAACGCACGAATGAGTGTGAGGCTGATGGTTTTCACCTTGTTCCTGCGCACGTCTTCTTTGCAGGCACAGGCTCCTGTCTCCGTGCTGCGGCCAGATTTCGGCCCGGCAGTGAGACGTGAAAATCCTTGCAAACATCTTACTCGGAGTGAACAATCTCTGAAGTTACTTCCTCTGACAGTGTTGCCCTACCTTTGTGTTCATCCTACTGCGACAAGTTCAGCGTCACTCCGTGGAGATTCCAAAGCCTGCCGGTCGCACTGAGACTGCGGATCACACAGCTTCACACATTGCAGCTATGGGAACAACGGTTTCATCTGTGCTTCCCCCCGGATCCTGCACTTCTGGATGTGCCATCTCAAACTTGTCCAAGTCGGAAACCACCTCGCAAAAGGAATCTGTTCCGTCATAAAGCGTTCTGACAAGAAAGGCCCGCTACGCCAGAGTTTCACCAAGGCACGGAACGCAGGACTTGATGATCCAGCCGCGGTTGGGCTGCTGGCATTGGTCTTCCACGTTCCAACCACCTGAGCAATGCAAACCTGTCTTGCAGCTTGGGAGTGTCTCGGTTGCGCCTGGGTACGGATGTGGCATCTTGTGACGGCAAAGGGTCCTGCCAGAGTGACAAAAAACATCTGGCAAAACTGCCAGGTCATCCAAACAAAATCGCAGACTCCTGGAAGTGTTCTGCGCGGGTGCCGAACTCTTCCAAGAACTCGGGAGCTGTTGGAGCTGCCGCGGCCATCTGCTCTGCTTGGCTCTGCATCGTCCCGTGCTTCCACCCAGGCTGATTCAGCGGGATCTCGTGCCTCAGAACTCATTTCAGAGACCCTCACGCAGCAAAAAAAGGCTTGTCGCTCAGACTCGTCGGCTGGGTTCGCAGCATTTCGAGGCCAGAAACGGGATCGATCTCGGGTTCGTTCAATGCCCGTGCCGGGTTGCAAGGCTCTGGAAAACGTTTCGGACCCTGTCCGAATCTGGGAGAGCTTAGTGGCTGTGATGCTTGCAACACCTGTGGTCTCACGTGCTCGGTGAAAGGTGGAAAAGATGCCTGGAGTTTGGCAGGAGGTCGCAGGAACTCACCGCCTGAACTGGCCATGGCCCACTTTTGCCGCGCTTGGATGACAACATCATCCTCGTGCTGGGGATGTGTTGCTCTGTAGGCTGGTGGTACGATGGGGAGCAACGGCAGCGGCTTGTTGTCCGTGGCAACAGCGTGAGCGACGCCGGTCTGCGTTTGTGCTCCAGTTCCTCTTGAAAGAGGTGCTTTGTGAACGCCGTCACCCCAGCTGAGCCAATCCATTCTTGCGTGCAACCTTGGCTAGACTGAGCAGCGAGACTATGCAACAAGCCCTCCTGAATCCACGACTGGGCTTCAACAACCGTCTTTCTCTCTGGATGAGCTTGAGGAGGGACATCTTGTGGGACTTTCTCATGCACTTGGCGCAGGGTTTGTGTGTGTGTGTGTGCGCGTGTGTGTCATGTTGGGGCTCTCCTGCACCAACCACAGGTCCGTCAACATGTCCCTTTCTCGGGTTATGCAAGACTTATCCTAAGCGAAGCCGTCGATGCGTCCGTCGCTCTGCAAAGTCTCCCAGAAGTTCGAGTGTCGAGAAGCTTCCGGCACTCAGACCATCTTAGCAACGGATTGGATTGCAACCCCATGCCCTGCACCACTTGAACAACCTCCGCTGCTTCGACACCAAGGTCTGTTCGAGGTCTGTTCGAGTGGGTCGTCCCATGGCGATTCAAAACGACAACAGAATCCGCATCTTGTTGCCGTGCCTAGTGCGTGGCGTGGCAAATGTGCACTTGGTGCTCGAAAACGCAGGCAAACGCTAGGGTGTTTCGCTTGTTTCAGGTTGTTTCCCGTCAGAGGTTTGCGAGGCATTCCAAAGCTATTTTTTATATTCTCGTTTGTTCGGGGAGCTGATCTATCTTGCCCGATTTGCATTGAGCGTGAACCCTAACCCCTATTGCCCTGCAGCATAACGCCCAAGATAGGCGGCAGGGAAGCCAAAAGGCGGTTCGGCAGGGAACAGTCGAGTGCCCGGCGCCTGGCAGAATGCAAGCACCAGCCATGCATCAAAGTCATCAAAAGTCGAAAGGGTTCGATCGCCTCTTGAGCGAGGGAGCATGATCTAAGAATCCCATGTAAAGGGCCTGGCTGACCGTTCTGACGTGAGCAGCTTCAGGAAAACAAGAAGCCCCCAACAGCAACGGGCAGTACGCGAGGGCTCAACCATTGCACATGAAGGGTGAACAAACTCAGCCCCGTATGTGTGTGGTTGCCTCTAAGTCTCTCTTTCCACTGTGTGCTTCGGGACATGGGTTCGATCGCTCTGCCTCTGGCAACTGCTGGCGAGAAGCTTTGTGGCCCAGAAGAAAGAAACAGCTTCCTCCACATGCGAGAGCTTGGAAGCCAACGACCAAAATGTTGAATCTGGCTGTCTCGTCGCATCTCTCACCGCGCTGTGTGCCTGAGATTCTAGTGGGGGGCTGCTGCTTCATCTGTTGCATGTCCTTTGGGCAGAGGTGTGCTACCAGGGGCGCCTCCAGACTTTCCTGAAGCACTGTTCGGATCCGTGAGGAGACGGCCGCCGGAGGTTGCCACACGGAAATCGTGCCATCACGAGCACCTCAGGCATCAGTTTGACTGGAAGGCTCTGTTATCCACCTGGCTTCGTAAGAGCAGAACCGACGAGAAGCTGGCCAGGGTCGTGCCACGGAGAGCCTCGGCTGCAAGCCTTTCAAGCGACCTGCGCAGGCCATCACTACTTCAGCCGAGATGCCAAGACTAATGTAGTTTGCGTTGATACTCACCTGGCGACGGGAAAGCCGAAAGCCCCTGTCACAAGAAATGTCGCGATCGGCGTTTGTGTGGAAGCAGGCTGAACCTGTGGACTGTGTCGTTTTAGGCCTGGTAGCACTGTTCGCCGGAGCTGAAGTCGACGACGCAGATCAAGGATGTTGATTCCTTGGGCGCCAACGTGAAAGTGCATGATGCGAAACGATGCATCAAAGCTTGCAGTGTGAATCAGACCAGGCGATGTCTTTTGCATCTATATAGCGGCATCCATCAACTTCTGACGACATGAGTTGGCTCACGATACCTACATTTAGCACCCAAACAAACCCGAACTCATGTCCCATTATGCCTGAGTCTCCGCTGCCGACGCAGCATGCGAGGAAGGCCAGATCGAGTGCAGCAAGTCATTGCAAGCATAGCCGCTTGGCACAGCACCTGCGCTGTCGCGAACTAAGAGGCGAAGCTTGTCGGCTGCAGAGAGACACAGGCCTCGCCTGCATCGTGCCCGACATGCAAATCGATCGGGCCCAGCGGGCCGGGTGTGGATGCGCAAAAAATGTAGGAGCCTTGCAAGCGCCGAGCAAGGCACCGCAGCACCCGAAGCATGAAGCTGCAAGGAACGTGGCAGATCTTGGTAGTGCCAAGCCACCACTGCAATCCAAGCAAATTGATGGATGAAGCGGCAGCAGAGGCGCGACCTGAATCTTCTCGATCGCGTGTTGCAGCTACAATAGCACTTTCTTTCAAGCCTCACAGTCCCTGAGGGGCCGACTAAAAGGGAGTTGAAAACCGGGCAGGATTTCAGCAGCTCTCCGCTCCACAAGTCGAAGACAAGAATAATTGACCTGCGAATGCACCCAGTTGCGTAGAGGAGCGCAGCTGGCACAAGGCCTCACATCACTCGAAGGCAGCACTGCCGAAGCAACCAGGTACCTTGGAGCATCGGTGATCGGTGGGCGATGCTACAGACTCATTTTGACTGAGCGGAATCATATACATCCTGCAGCCTATTTCATCTACAGGCCTGGATTCTCCAGATTCGTGTTCCTCCCCCGCTTCATTCCCACCGGAAGAGATGATGGCCGGGTCCCCATTACTGCTGTTGTGCTTCCCTCCTTCCTGCCTTCCGTGCGATTCGGTCCTAGTCATAATCAGCCGCAAAGGAGTGCCTCCGGGTCGGGTTCACAATATATTATACATATACATGTATACATATATACACATACAGATAATACAGAGTCGTTCTTGTAGGCATGAACTTCCTGGAGGCACTCTAAGTTTCGATACTCTTATCAGCAATCGCAAGCGACTCGGAGACCCTCCTTGCAGTTGTGGCACAGTTGTGACGGATGTGCGCAGAGGTCGGTGAAGACTCCTCCAGCAGCCTTGCGCAATTCTGCAATGGCTGCAGCAGTGTTAAACCCTTAGCAAGCTCACTCTGGGGTCACCTGGCAGACGGGAGCCAGGGCGAATTGGGCTGTTGGCGCTTTGGCAAACGAATCGCCCAGGGGGTACACTTCGTGCAGGACTGCCTTCCGTGGAAGTCTCCAGCTATCTGCCGAACTGCTTCTCTCAATGTCAAACCTGTGCTGTGCAGCAGACTGGCGTGCCTCCCAAGGGTTGCGCAGTCTGCTGACTACATATAGGTTCTGATCATAAGCTCTCTGTGTCGCTGTGGGCCGCCACACGAAAAACCTGAGGAAGTCTGTTGCCATTTAGAAAACTGCACGAGGAGCAGCTCGAAACACATCGCAAATACCAGCCAAGCTTCGCTTGCTGAACCTTCTCGTTGTCGCGAGGTCCACTTGGCTCGCCGTGTTGAAGCCTGAGCTCACCGGAGCAAGTGATGTGCAGCAACAGCAGATGGCCTCTACAAACGGAGGCCCTTGCTGCAGCAGCGGGCTGAGAGAAGGGAACTCCAGCAAATCCTTGGCCGCGTCTGTCTGCTTCGACTTGCCGCAAATGTGCACGCAGCGGTTTGTCTCGAAATTTTGAGTTTGGACATGGCAGCACAGGAGTCGTCCACAGGAAACACAGGAAGATGTACGTGTAACCTTTGCGTAGCCCATCGCAGAGGGATATTCCTCTTCCGGAGTCCCCTCTCAGCCGCGCGCCGCAGCACCATCGGCGAAGGATGCCGCAATGAAGCTCCCGCAAGAAGATATGGTCAAGTGGCAACATGACCTGGGCAGCACAAGCCACAGGCCGGACTCAATGGAGGCGAAAGGCCCGAGCTCCAAAAGGCTTGAACTCTTCACCTCCAGATCACCCAGGTCACGGGGGAACACCTGCAGAACATGCACGGCATGCTGATCGCATGGATGGTACTTCGAGAATGTCCTTGTCGCGGCGAAGGGCCTCCGAAGGTGCGGACGGTGATTTGCGCGGGGCGCTGCGCACCGTTCTCCAGGTCACCGCCTCGTCTTCCAGGGCTGCAATTGTCGTCATCACCGTTCCACAGAGCACGAGGGTTCTTGCCTGATCAGCTGACGCCGGTGCCAGCGCCTGGCCCAGAATGAACGCAAGACAAGGACAATAGGGCCAGGTCATTCCTTTGCAATCTTACTCGGCTATGCGCTTTTTGCACTGCCGAGCTTGGACACTCCAAACTCATGCTTGTGACATCACGTGGCGCTTGTGGCTGCTAAAGCTGGGGCTACTGTGGGTGCTGAGAGTTCTTCTTTGCGTCGTGCAGGTACCGAGTGTTGTCATGCAGCTGAAACTGAAACCTGTCGTGAGAACACGCCCGTGGAGGTGTGAGATGCACTGGGGCCCTACGGGCCCAACGTTTCATGGTCACCGGTGGCCGTGACAGGCTCACGCTTCTCCAGGTCAAGGTTGTAGCAAATCAGCCGGCTTCCGCTGTGCCTTAAGTGCACTTGTTACAGTTTGACATATCGAGCGACTGGCGACCAACTGACCAACATCCAGGGCACAGCGGATGGGGCCAAGCTGCAGCACAAAGAGTCGGTTCCGGGGCGCAGCAGCCATGCCCACGATGATGTTGCGAGGCCATGGCAGGGTACGGAGGCCACGCTCGACTTCCTCAGGGTCACACTGAAACACCTCCGGCCACCTTGGATTTCCTAGCTTTTGCATTTCATGCGCTGACGAAGTGGCAAGTGGAGTCACCCGCAGTTCAAATCGCAGCGAGCCTCACGTCCGGCAGTCAAACCCTCTGTGTTTTGATGAGCTGCCCAATTGGGATACCTCAACTTTTGTGCATTCCAGGGGCGCTTCCGTCTCAGAACTGTCACAGCCCACAGCATTCTCGCCACCGAATCCATTTTGGTTGACACCACGACCTCAGGTCAAGGTTTAAGAGCGGCAGGTTCTCGCTCGCCCCCGACCTTTCGCAAACTCAAATCTCTGCGGGCCAAGCCGCGGTAGACAAACCGGGCATGTACACGGTGTGCGCAAAAGCACCATTGAAAGGAAGCGATTGCTTGCAACGCATGCTCAGGCAGCCATCCTGACATTTGAGGCGAGCTTCTCCCAAAGCACGAAGTGGCAAAGCACGTGTATAGGGTTTTCTACATTCACACCCGCATGGAGTGTTGAGGCAGGACACTATCGACGAAGCTCCGCAAATCAGCAGCTGTGCGAAACCATGGAGTGCTGCAAGATTCAATGACTGTCGGAGACCCGTAGTGTAGCAAGACATGCCGCAAGAGGCGTGACTCGAAACGGAGGCAATGCCAAAGTATTTCCGGGTAAGCATTCGTGAGTTCATGTTTTCGGGGAGCAAATCCTGCTTTTATTTTAACAAGGGGCTATTCAGAAGCCAGCCCGCCCGTAACACACATGGTCCAAGCTGCAGTGAGCCAAACCGTGGTCTCAGAGAAGATCATGGCCATGTGCTCTGCCCGGGTGCCTGTGAAGCGATGTGGTTCACACAAGGATCCATACCAAGCCCGAATAATTGACTTGTTTGGCTTCTGGTGGTTCCTGACAGGACTTGTGCCCGTGCTTCTTCGGCATGCACAGAGTTCAGCACTTGCACACGTTGGAGCAGGTCCTGGCCGAGATGCTGACATGATGTCAACAAACCTCTGTGCACGTACAATTACAAACTTAACGCCAGACGACGTTCTCGTCCTGAGCTCCAAGCAGCGGCAGAACGAAGGATCGTATGATCTCTGCAGGCAGCAGGCAGCCATCTGCACTCCAGTCCATTAGACTGTCTCCTGACACAATGAAGTGGATCAGTGGGCTGTATTGGACAATTAATTACTACAGCACTAACCTAGCTCGTCTCATGTGATATCCAGTGTCTGTGCGGCCATGCCTGGCTGTTGGCATGGAGGCGCTTCCACTGCGTGGACGCATCTGAGAGGTATCCAGCATGCATTCCATGCTTTCCTGTCAGGGCAGGGCTACAACAAGAAGAGCCTGTGCGCACTGTTTGGGGCTGAGCTGTTTCCAAAACATCCGCGAACTTGAGGCTCACAGAGTCTCAACCCTTGTTCGGGTCGTCGTGGCTCCTCATCCTGGGCTACTGACCAATACACCCATGCGGCCCATGCATCACGGACACAACCCTGCAGCGCCCGGAGAACGGGCATTTGACCCTTAAGCCTCCAACAGCCTCCAACTTCACCCCTGTGCGGACAGGGTGTGAAGGGCAAATTCCAAGGCTAGACATTGGCACAGTCAAGGCCATCACCCAAATGCAGAGGGGAACAAGCAACAGAAGCAGAAGCCCCACTTGAGACTAATCCAGAACTCGTTGATTTGCGGGTCCCTCCCCACCTCCTCATCCCTCCATCAGATTCGGGGGCGAAGCTTCGAATGATGGAGGCGGGCTCGTTCTCAGGTGGAAACCTCGGTGGGCACCGGGGCCGAGAAGATCCAGAACTGTCCTCGAGGTCTGGCGTCTCTTCCAGGACGGTCACAGGAACCGGAGCCGCCGGAGCTTCTTTTGGAGCCTCGGCTGACGGCGGTGCCAAGTTGAGCACCTTGACCTCACCTCCGAGAGAGCCCAGAATCGCACGCCCCCGCGCGACGTCGATGCTTGGAAGATTGTCTTGAAAACAGTGCAGTAGTGATGGCTGCATGTTGGCCTGCCTCGTCTGCCAGCTCTTCTCGGTTCTTCGAGGATACGATGGCATGACACTCGGATCCACATTTTGAGGAGGAGTTAGCCACCATGCTTTGACGCAGTGGTCGTTTGCGGAAACTAGTAGGGGTCCATCAGACGTTGCAGGCTCACCATGCGGAGACAGTCCAATACCCCAGGTAGAAACACCAGCAGACGAGGATTGGCCAATCTTGGCATTTTGCAGTTTGAGGACCGGTTGTCTACTGGGGCTGCTGGGGGACGGAACGACCAAAACACCACCCTGAGCGTCCACGGCAACGACCACGGACTGGCCACCGACTTGGCCGCATCGGATGCGGTTAGCCTGCGCGCTGAGCTCCGGTGCACAAGAGGTCAACACTGCTCCCGCCAGACCAACGTCCACGTCGGTAATGCGAGGCTGAGAAACTTGGGCTTCCAGGCCAGCCATTGAAAAGCCGAAGAGCTGGCGCTGGTTGGCGATCCAAAGTACTTGTGACACTGGGCAGATATCCATAACGTTCATGGGTGGCCCGTTGGGGCCGAAATGCCACAGTTCGGCCTGACCCAGCGGCATTCGGGGCACTTCCCAGGCTGCACGGCAAGAAATTTCTAGACCGGCCGCTGCCATCTGTGCGATGCCGTTCGGATCCCAGCCCCAGTCGTTGAAATCTGTCAGGTCTTCACCTTGCCCGAGTGCAACGTCGCCAAAGAGAGAGAGGTCATCGTCGGAATCGCCCTCGCCGAAGGCTTCTTGCTCCATGGCTTGTTCGAAATCCTCGGCATCGGAAACCATTTGCAGAGCATCTTCCTCGAAAAAATCGCCCATGTAATGCAACTGCTCCTGGCATGGAATTCGCCGGTGTTGGCGGTGCGGTGCAACAGCAGAGAGCGACAAAGGGCCTAGAACCACACGGTGCAGGGCTACACGGCTACACGTCGAAATTGAAAAAGATCCTGCGTGCCGGGCATGCCGCATGCAACACATCTAGAAACGAATGCAGGGGATCCTCGCTCAGCCAGTGCTCGGCCTCCTGTGCAAACTCTTCCAGTTCTGCCATCTCTGCTTGGGCCGCAGCTTCTTCTGCCATCCAAAGCTCTTCGGCTGCCTCGGCTGCTGCCTCCTCGGCCATGCGGATTTCTTCCTCAGCGGCTTCCTCCTCGGCTCTCCAAAGATGCTCGCTTTCCACATCCAGGTCTTCGTCGGGCCCAGAGCTGGCAGATGCAGCATCCATCCTGCCACGCCGCACCTGCGCCTGCCGCACCCGTTGAGACCATAGGTGGCCAGGCCAGTGCGGAGACCGACGCTAACTGTGCAAGAAAAGCCGGGGGGCGTGTTACCTTTGAATGACTCTTGCTCTAAACATGTCATCACCTCTAGTCTGCAGATCTCCTTTACAATGTCTTGGCTCTAATGAGTGGTCCGCATGCTTGACATTTTGAGCATCCCATTCCGCTGTTCTGCCGGCTAAGGAACGGGAAGACAAGCCCATTCGGTCTGTCCACTGTCGCACCAAGGCCTCGAGCAAGTGGACAGAGCCGTCTTCAGCTCCAGCCACAAGCACGTAGGCGCCTGGCACTGAGCCATGGGCGTGCCAGGCTAGACGCAGACGGAGTTGCGTGCGTTGAATAAACAGAAAACGGCAAGACAACAAATGCCAACCACATCGGCTGACCGTTGAGGCTGCCATCCAATGCAAGGCAAGCAGAAGGGTGGAAGGCAGCAGCTGTGAGAGCTCTGCTGCCTCGGTGCCATCTTGAGCGAGTCAAGGGCATCAACAAACATCGTATTCATAGGTCTCCTGCGCCCTTCGCGCACAATCAATGATTGCTCTTCGTCGAGAACCGGGACACCCATGCCTCTGGCAAGACACCTGCATATCCCAGGGCCATACTCTCACATGTGCTAACATGCAAGTCTGGCCACACCCTCGAGTCGGGGGTCCCATTTTGGGCCAGGCGATGAAGCCGAGCCCTGGTCCTGCTGTGCAGCCCGGCCTCGCATGCAAAACATCCTTCTGCCCGATCGTCGATCTGATGCGACACGTAAGACGTAAGCAAGGCTTGCACCTCTGAGAACCGATGCTGAGAAAGGCGAGAGCTTTCGTCTTGAGGATTCCTCCAAGGAAGCAGCTGCGCTCCCCACTCAAGATGAAAAATCTGATGAGCCAAGAATCTCTCTGCATCGAGCATCCGCCCCGCAAGTGCGGCAGGAGCGGTCAAACGAGGTGCAGTTGTGATACCTCACGCTCAAGTGGAAAATGATTCTGGCTGGCTTTGGTCTTGACGAAGAGCATGGAGACTATCCAACTACTCTGGCACGAGGCTGCAGAAAACCAATACGGTGCACAACGTTGAAGCGAGAGCAAGCCAAGATGCTGCAGATGTTGCCGGCATGTCCAGCTCGCAAAGCGACCCATTGGGCAGAACTGAGATGGATGACCTCGGAGCAGACCGAAGTGCATCGACGATTTGTGTTGCACAATAAGGATGACACATGACAAGCTGACAAACTTAACCGAGGGCCAAACGCCGTGTGTTGCATCTGAAAAACACACACATGCATAGTCCTGTTGTGGCGAGAAGAAAGAATCAACACCACTTCGTGTCGTCTCACGCATGCAGTCCTCGCCCGCACCAAGGGAGACCGAGACAACTCTTGGCGCAAGCTTCTCTGCTCCGGATGTGTCGCAGAGCTGAGGTGGGCATGGCAAGGTCCTCCAGTGCTCAGGACCTCGGCAACCACTGAACGCTCTTGCAGCCAACCTCTCCTGCTAAGCCCTCTTAAAGCAGAGATGGAACCTTGAATGGCTTTAATTTCCATTATTTGCGGGACCTGACACCCACATGCAAGTGCTCAGCGCAGCGCTGGCACCGCGAGACACGAGCAAAGAGCCGTCTTCACAACCGAGGCACCTGATTGAGGCACTCCTGCTTGTGTGCAAACACACGCATGCTGCAACAATGCTTCTCACAAAAGGGACTTTTTTTGAGCAGGGACCGCAACACATTAAGCCCTGGGCCAAAGCCTACTATCCTAAAGCAGCTGAGACACACGGTGCTTGCCTTTGCGTCCATACATGTGGTCTTGGCAGCAGGTGCTTGCACGACCTGCCACACCAAACATCCGTTTAGAAGCTCCATGCTTCCGACTTAGGCGGCGGAGGACCTGCTCTCGCTGGCCGTCGAAATTCATGACCTTCCATGGCAGCAGCTAGCAGCGAATTTAATTGCTTTGATCCACTGCCTGGAGCCGCCCCTCCGTCAGCAGGTATGCCAGGCGGCCTACGACATGCAGTTTCAGGGACTTCCACGAGCGCAGGAATCCCAGCCTTCGAGCTCAAAGGCTTGAAGCGGTTTCGTCAAGTCCACCCGCAAAACCTGTCTGGGCTCACATCCGGCCTGTATGCCAAACCGCATGCGGCTGGACCTGGCGAGTGCCGCCTGTAGGCCCCGCATAAGTCCAGAATGTCACGGCATCTACCTGCATCAAACGCTGCCAAACTTCTCAGGCAGACTGGAGCCCAACACTTCCTCTGCAACTGCGAAATGGCGAGCATCATCAAGAAGTCGGACTGCCAATGGAGAGATCGAAGGCCCTAAGGGGCCCTGCGCCAACGGCCGCGGACCTCGACGTGACCAGTTGCCACATGTTGCCATGTGGCATGCGTGTCCCTCAGATGCAAAGGCGATGCGCTGAGTGTGCAGGCTCAGGACATCAGCGTCCCAGTAGGCCACGCATGCAGACAGAGCCTGAACCCGAACCCGCGCAAAGCGTCGCAACGGCCAGGCTCGCGGGCACTTGGGACTTGGGCTCTTGCGGAGTTTCCATAAAGAACAAGCATGTGCTGTGTTTCTCGGTGGTAATCCACCTCGGCTCAGCTCCGACATCTCACATGTGCAACTATACTGTGCAACATACCACTGGTGGATCGCAGTCAATACTGGTCGACAGCGTTGGTCCACTGAGCGTCGCACACAGAGCCCCTGCGCCGAAGTGTTCGCTAGGGCATGTTCCGCGACCTGACATCATGTGGGCGGGCTCAGCTGCGTGGGCGACGGAGATGTGCAGATCTTGATTCACGAAGTAACATGCGACAAGATGCTGTCCCCGTAGGCTGGCTGGTAAGCCGCTTGCCCGAACTCCGTCCGCAGTTCGCCAGACAGATAGTGTGGGCTGTCCGCTGGGCGACACCCAGAAGCCCAGCACAATGCGCCCATCCTGGCTGCAGAGCATCAAAAGCAAATAAGATAAACATCGACATGCACCGCCACCCGCCTGCCCACCCGCTTGCTACCTTCCTACCGATCTAGGAACTGGACGAAGGCTCTGTTCTTCGTCATCGTAGAAGCCCATCCGCATAGACCCTGGATTTGTATCCCCGAGTATCGTTGTCAATCGTTGTGAGCGTCCCCGAACGTCCCTAAAGAGGATTGAAGACAAGAAAACGACTACGCCTTGCTGAAGAAGATCTGCGAGCAGCGCTGGCCTGGTTGCCTCGAGAGTCTGAGTCTCCATCAAAATTAATCTCATGTGTCCTCCCCGGCACGTGGTAGTACGATCTACTATACGCTCGTCCTAGTACCGCAGCCATGTAGACTTCCGTCTTCTGTCCTTCTTTGTGTTTCGATGTTGCTGGTGTTGCACAATTGTCAGGGACAGTGGGTGCTGGAAGGCATCGGAAATTGCGCAATTTCGCACGTGGTCAGGGCGGTGGGGCGGGATGTCTTAATGAGGAATCAACATCACCGGAACAAAATGCTGTGGAGAATGACACACCCTGTGGTCACGGATTGCCAGGCCAAGAGATTCACGGCCCCACCGGGCTCGCGAAGAAAAAGCACCTCACAATACCATGCCGGACCCAGAGCCTACCCACCCCCCCCTCCCCTCGCGCCCTGCTCCAGTCCGTCACGCCCGTGTCCAAGCTCGTCTTTGCAGTCATGGTGGCTCAACAACCAAGCGAACGAAGTCGGCAGCAAGCCCTCAAAACCCACTCGACCTTTCTCTGATCGCATTCATGCCAGCTGGCAAGCTGCTGATTGTATTGCCAGTGCAATTCAAAAGTCATCGGAACATCCGGGCAATGGCTGAATATTATCCACCTGATGGCAGCCCCACTTGACACTCTCCAAGCGTGCACGGTCTTCAGGGCTCAGAGGGGTTCGGAGACAATGCAAATCGTCTTCCACATAAGACCTCATGGCTGTTCCAAGCAGAAAACTCGTGGCGAATTGAGAAAGCTGGGCTGGAGTTAGAGGAGGAGGCCGGATCTTGTTGCAACTCGGACGCGGCTTCAAAAGACTGGTAACCACTGCAATGTCCATGTCCAAGTACCATCTGTTTATGATCCTTAGATCGGAAGCTCAGGTCGACACAAACTCGTACACCTAAACAGCGATTTCAACTTCTCCTGTTCAACTTCAATCAATAACGACGCAGATGTTGGTCTGGGGCTTTGACTAAAAGGCCTTCAAGCAAAAACCTATACACTGAGAGTGCCGGTTTTGCAGCAGCAGCAGGAAGAGTTCCTATTGTCACCATTACAAGCATCAGTGGTAGTGGCGGTGGCGGCAGCAGCAGCAGGAGTAGTAGTAGTAGTAGTAGTAGTAGTAGTAGTAGTAGTAGTAGTAGTAGTAGTAGTAGTAGTAGTAGTATAGTGGTAAGGGTATAGCGGTCGTGGTAGCGCAGCGTGCCGACGAACGAGAACCGATAATGGGGGCAAGATTGGTGTGCAATCTTGGTCAGCGAGGGAGGGGCAAGATGGGACGCAAGCTTGGTCGCCTCGGGATGGAGGGGGCAATTTTGCCGGTGCAGGCTTGGTGAACTTGGTCGAGTATCTATGCGCCAGACAAGCATCAAGATCACCACGATTGCCAAGAATAGCCCCTGCCGCCCCGGCCCGCCAGAACTGCCCAGCCAGGCACCCTAATACTAATACTATATAATTCTGGTTATAACTACAACTACTAACTACCAACCCTAAACCTAAAGCCGTGAACCGCAGGCGTCGGTCGCGCACGATTAACCCTAAAAGCCTAAACCGTAAAACCGCAACGGTCTAAACCCTAAACATAAACCCTAACCCCGAACCCATAAACTGCAAGCGCCGGATGCGCGCAACCCTTTTTGCAGCAGGCCTCGTTGTCCAGCAGCCCGGTTACAGCAAAGAGCCCCTCTGTCCCCCGCTTCTTCAAAGCAAGGAGAGGAGTCGAGCTGACACTCGCGACGACACTATCTGATACGACACTACCTTACTATACTGACTGATTGCAAGACTGTGAAATTCCATGAGCTCGCTCAAAAACGAATCCAGAACCCATTGTTCAAGATATAGCTCGACACTGATACCAAAAAACTCAAGCTGGAAATACTGAAGCCAGAGGTGAATGATTGATATCAGCGTCCCTGTGCGCACGAAAGTCTGCATCCCCTCAGCCTCATGTAACCAACCAAGCGTGACCACCAAATCACCCGCTGCAGCCCCTGCAGCCACATGCAAGTAGACTCCAATGTGCCATGCCGTCTGCACCCGGTATACATCACGCCAGTGTTTGAACCCACAGATGTGTGCGACAGGATGCTGCAAACTATAAGCCGGAACTACAAAACCACCCTTCTGACTCCAAACTTCACGGTTGGCTGCAAGAGCTTGTAGCTCTGCAGGACTGAACTGCAGCTCGTGTAAGGAGCACTGCTGGACTCCCCAAGAGACGAGATGCGACCACGGACTCGGGACAGCGGCCGTAATCCCGCACAAAGCCAGTGCAGCTTTACGCGTGAGATGTGTATCAGGCTGTCTAAGAAGATGCCCTAAGTAATTCCACTTGCGTTGTATCCAGATGCAGCACCAATCGTGTTGCGGCCAGTGTGTAAGTAACAATAAGGCAATCCGCCTCCTGAGCCTATGTAGATGCATCGCAGTATCATGGGTACAGGTGTCGGGCAGATATAGGCCAAGCAGGAGAACCAGAATGGTCACTTGAAGGACCCGGATACTGTCGAGGTACTTCTGTAGGGGCTGAAGCAACGGACTCAACCAGAACCAGGAACCACCAACATAGCAGTTGAGCATCTTCAAAATGCCAAACGGGTTATGCCATCGACCTTTACGAACCGCCCGGTGAAGTTTCTCATATGACATGTGTACAGCAGAATGTATCGGCGCAAGCATAAGCTCCGTAGAGTCACGGCATGTGTCCACATCGAAATGCATGAGAGGTTTTCGCAAATATTGAACACAACGCTTCCACTCAATCTGTGGTACCAAGGAGTCGGCTGTGAAATGATGTGAGGCTCCAACACGTAGGACGTTGGGATGTGACATGACGACAGTCTTCTTAAGGTTGAGTTGCAGACCAAGTTGACGAAGCGTAGTGCACAAGTCAGTCAAGCAGCGATCGCACTGAGCCCAATCCACAAAATTAAAGATCATATCATCCACATATGCCCAGCCATACGAGTCATGCCAACAGGGTTCGTGTCTGAGGCTCCATTCGCGGTCAAGCTTACAAACAGCCAAACCCAATACATAGCTAAACAGAAGCGCTGAATGGGATCCACCTTGTTGTACTCCTGTGGTCTGGGGTTGATTCCATGACTCGCCCTGCCACGAAAAGCACAAATCTGGGCCCATTAGCAGCTGCAAGAGCCGATGCGCCTCGACGCCTAACTGCTCTGGACTGTGATCTGTCACAAAGGTGGCAACACTAGCCTGGGATATAGAATCAAAGGCAGCCTGAACATCGCAACTAACCCAGACACCGTAGGAATGTTGACGACTCTCGGCAACAACACGGGCATGAGCGCACAATAGAGAATCAGCGACCTGAGAGCCACTAATACCACCGAGTTGTAAAGCAGGCTTCGGCCAATGTAGCTGCAAGCGGGTAACCAGGAGCCAGGCAAAAACTTTGTGGATTGTCTCAAGCAGGTTGATCGGGCGAAGGTCTCTGCACTCAAGTACCCGATGAGTCTTGGGGAGCAAACAAACATATGCCTGGAAAATCTCAGGAGGCAGGACTTCAGACTTCAGTAGGTTGTTGAGGTGTGACAACAGCATACGTTGGCCCTCGTCAGATTCCCACACTGCGAGCAGGAATTCATTACTTATGCCCGAGAGACCGGAGACCTTCCCACGCTTAAGACGCCCAACAGCCTTGCTGACTTCCGCAGAGGTAAAGGGTTCCGGAGGACACTTGGCACCTCGCTCAGCGAGGGTGCTCAAAGCCTTCTGTAAAGATGTCCTTGTCTCGGCCGAGGGTTCCCTGCCAAAAAGTGCCGAATAATGCTTTTTGACATTCTGTATGGAAGCTTGTACCCCACCACTCCTCGCAATAAATTCTTGGGTATCTGCAACCAAACAACCTCGCTGCTTAAGATATCTTATGGCTGTTGGGTCCCCTTGCGCACTCCTATCGTGTAGATCCTGCAGCCACAGCAGGCGAGCTTCATGTCTAGCAGCAATGATGGCTCTCGTGAGGCGCGCTCGATCCTGCGAGTCTGTTGTAAGCCGTCGCTGTTGACAGAGCTGCTTCAGGCTTGGAGGATCAGTGTATTTGAGGCTGGGGGCCGGGAAGGAGCACTCGTTGGAAAGTCGCGAGAAAGCCTCCCACTGCTGCTGGGTACTCAGCTCCACGAAGTCGGACTCCGATGCAGCCAGTTTGTTATGCAACGACGTCTGCTGTACCCTATGTCTTCTGCACCTCCTGGACTGTCTGTATCGGCCCCTCTTCGAGCGCTGGAGAGAATGAGCAGGGTCTCTGAGAGCAAGCTCCAACTGAACGCAGTCATGATCACTACCCAGTGCTGAATGTGAGCATGAGATTGTGGAAACTTCGATTGCAGCAGGCACGGAAATAATGATATCATTCAACGGTCGGTTAACCATAAAGTAATCCAATTCCGAATTGGAGCGTCTCCCAAATCGCGTAGGCAGGAAACTCTGAAGAACACGACCACCTAGGGAGGTCGCAGCGGAGCAAAGCTGGATGCCACGTGTGCTCGAGGTTTCTGCGTTGAAATCGCCCATTAGAAGACATGGATCGCCCTGGTCATTAAAGCGTTTGTGTAACTGTGCTATCTCCCTCAGGGAGCCTTGAAAAATCTCGTCTGAATTATCGCTGTGCGGAAGGTGGCATCCAACCACAGTCAAATGACGCATCGAGCCGGCGCAAACCAAGTCCACACCCAAAGTCCTATCACCTTTCCAGCAACGACTAACATGGTCAACGCAGTCTTTGCCAACAAGGATCACTTGGCTCAGGTGGGAAGAAAGGTGCAGGCACGAATAGACATGATAGTCATGGATCTCACCGCACTCGTGCATGGTAACTTGCAAAAGTCCATCACCATAATCTTGCACAACAGGTAGAGCAGCAACACCGCCCACCTCTTGCAAAGCGATGATGTCAATACATTCACCTGTCTCTTCAAGCCAGGAAATAAAGTTCTGAAGGGTTTTTCCCTGAACGTTCCAGCTTGAAAACCTGATAAAG